GAGCCTCCACCTGTACAGTGAATGGAAACATTCACTCATTATTTAGTTCAACAAACTTCATTTTCTAATACCTCCATTATTTTTGCGGATGACTGACATGACACATACTCATTTTTAGAAGCTACATGCACAGCAAAGAGCATGAAGAACTTCACCGTGGGCACTGCCACACACAGACAGCCACCGTCGGCCTGCAGGTCGGGGTTCCATTGTCTAAGTACACAAACGCATTTTAAAAAATTGAGAGTAGACTGAGTACAATCTCAAGACTTATAAGGTTTTTAAGTTTTTTAAATTGATTTTCGAGGGAGAGAGGAAGGAAGAGAGAGAGGCACTGGCTGGCTGTCCCACTTACTCACGCACCCATTGGTTGGTTTCTTGCACGTGTCATGGCCTGGGGGTCGAACGTACATCCTTGGTGTGGTGGGATAACGCTCTAACCAACCGTTTTCTTACTTAATGGTGTACTCTGGGCATCTGTCTACTTCATCAAATACTCTGCAGCAATGAGGTAGTCGCAGGCTGCCGAGATTCACCATGTGGTCCTACCGCCTGCTCATCCTGTCCCTGATGGTGATAGTGACAGGTGAGTGTTCTCGCTGTATCAGTAGCTGCATGCACAGCTGTTTCAGCAGATGTTTTGCAAGTGTCTTCTGGGTGCCAGGGGAACTTGGGGACAGAGGGGAACGACTGTGGAGTCCTAATCACTGCTGCATGAAGGCAGACCCATGACGAGGGGCTGCAGGCAAGGTGCTGATGTGGGCACACTGAGTTGGGAGGGACCTGAGGAGGGAGCCCGGGAGCGAGGCCGGGCCGGGGACCTGTGGCCCGAGTGTCTGTGCAGCAGAGAAGGGATAGATAGCTTCGGAAGGTTATTGTGCCCACCAGGGATTGGGCAACTGGGCCCAAGAAACAGTCGCTTTCTACCTGCTCTGGAAAACCCAGGGCCACATAGGCACCGACCGTGTCCTGGGAGGCTGGTGACAGTATTTCCGCTGGGCTGGTGCCCTTTCTTACCCTGCCCCTGGGACATGTTCCCCTCAGAGTCTAAGACCTGACCCATAGGCATTGGGGGCACCTTTGACCCAAGGCCATGGCTCAGTCACTGGACACCCTCACGTGGCTCTACCTCCAGCTCTGCTCCATCCCCAGGGAGTCCACCGTCAAGCTGGACAGTGGGACCGCAGCCTCTGACCTGGCAGAGGAATGTTGGGAGGCAAGTATCCTCCCATCTGACCTCCCTGAGGCTGGGGAGCTGGAAGGGAGGGGCCTTTTCTGGAGGAAGCAGCATGGGGCTGCCCCGCTCCGCGGTCTCCTGTGTACTCAGGGACACGGAAGCCCACTGAGGGGCTCCTGACCAGGAGCTGGTGCCCTGGGAAGGACCATAGTAAGCTCCGTCCACTCCGACGTTTTGAGCTTTGTCGGGAGAGATGAGTTCAGGCTGCACTGTCAGCAGCGAGCACGGAAAGGCCTTCTTCTTCATCCCCGTAGGCTGCAGAGTCAATGGCTGTAGCAGAACACACGAGGGTACTTGCTGGGGTTCGGTGGTGCTGGGTTCAAGTCCAGCCTCAGTAACTGCTCTGGCCCTCAGTCTCGTCGCCCATTCTGTAAATGGTGATAATGACACCCACACCACCCAGACTCACGGGAGTGGAGGTGCTGCCTATAAAGGGCGTGGGGGGCACATCAGTCAGCACATGGGGGCCCCAGTGAAGGCGGTGGTAAGCCACGTGCCCGTCCTTTGCTGGCTCTTGGAAGTCAGACCTTGTGCCGAAATCCCCAGAGCTCCTCTTGTAGGGGGTGGGCTCCACTCTCCTGTGCTTTTGGTTCTGAGATACCACCTCCCCACCTGTGCTGGGCGGCTTCCTCTGTGGGCAAACAGGAAGTCGCTCATCTTGGGGGAGGCAGGAAGGGCTGCCTGGCAGGGGTGCCTGGCCACAGCTATGGTCAGGTGCAGAGACTTTGTGTCCCCTGGGCCCTGGGGAGGGGGACGGCAGCCGGGTAAGGAGCCCCAGGAATGCGTGGGAGAATGCAGGGGATCAACGGTCGATGCTGGCAGGGGCTCTGGGGCACGAGCCAGCTTCCCCTCTGTGCCCTCACCGTCCGTCCTCACTGGCGCCCTGGGGTCTCCCAGCCAGGGCTCTGCTCCTTGCAGACTTGGGAGGAGATGAAAGTTCTAGGAAGAGGAACAGAGCTGCTGGTTGCAGGAGTCTGGGAATCTCATCTTAAAGTTTGCTATATGCACCCCCTAGCCAGGCCCCATAAGCCCCAAACACCCCCCCTCACATCCCAGACCCATCACTTGGAGGAGAGGGAGAGGCAGGGTCCCCTTCCCAGGGGCCCGTCCGGAAGTGGTCAGGGAGAAGGCGATGAAGAGAGCGCGTTCTCACTCACCATGTGCTCGTGGGGCGCTGTGAGCCAGACACCACTCAGCCTGGGCGTGTGCAGTGGGCCAGTCAGCCTGGCCTTTGAGGTGTTCTCAGTAAAGGGAAGGAGGTGGATCCCCGGTTTGCAGCCGCAGGGACCTGTGGACCACTGGGCTAGTGGAGAGGCTAGAGCAGAGGGGGGGGGAGGCTGACCCCACCCTCACTTCATAGCTGCCTGGATCCTGCTCCCCCTGCTCCCTACCCTTCGCCCTGCTTGTCTGTAATCTCCCTGTGGTCACATTTCGTGGTCACTTTTACTGGGTATGCCTCTAACTTCGCAGTAGCGTCTGCTAGAGCCAACCACTTCCTTTTCTAAAGTTATCTCCTCTCTTGTCCTCTGTGACAACCCTGTGCGAGTCTCTTTCGCCTCTTCGACAGTGAAGCCCTCTCCTGGGTGCACCGCCCCCCCACCCGCTCCAGCATGGACCCCTTTCTACTGGTCACACACACGCCACTTTCTCCAGCCCAGCCCCTCCCGTCCACTCCAGGCGTGGTTTTCAGTTGTCTGCTTGAGTATGTCACCGATATCACAAACCTAACACTTAAAAAGTCACTGATTTTCTCCCCTAAGCCTCAACTCCCGGTTCTGTCTCCTTCCAGCAGGTGCCATTACCTCATTGGGTTGCTCCTTGAGTCGCTCCAGCCGGAAGTCACCCAACTCCCCTGTCCTCTCCGCCTCTCATCTGCTTAAGTGGCAGATCCCACCAGTCATCCAATATACACCCCAAGTCCTCTGTGTCCCCTCCTCTGCCATATCTTTGCCCTTAAATCTCCCGTCCCACTGCCCTGGCCAGCCTCGGAGCCCCCTCCCGGTGCCCCTGCTCTCACTGAGCCTCTGACTGTCTCCTCCATCCAGCCGCCGGAGATGGCAGCCACAGAGCAGAATCACTCTCTGCCCTGTCACTTCTCTGCTGACTTTGTGCCCTGCCACTCTAGTCCATCTTCCCCCCCCCCACCCCCTCAGGCCCCCAGGCCCCCAGGCTGGGAGCTCTGACCAAACTGGCCTGCTTCTGTTCTCTTAACTCAGGGAGACCTAGGTGGCCCCAGGTGAGGAAGCAGGAGGGCAGTTCCCTGGGCCCGAGCTCTTTGCAAGCTGGCTGCCCCCAGGCGTTTCTGACCCCCACGCCGCCCCCCCCCCCACTGTCTCTCCCTGCCCCTTTCCCCAGCATTCCGCAGTTTACAGTCAGACGTTGATTTAGTCACCTGCTTGCTTACTTTGTCTCTGCCGCAGAACTGGAAGCACCCTGAGAGCGGGGTTTATTTTTTTCCTGATAATTCAGCAGCGTTTCACATAGGTGACCGTGTGGAGGAGGTGCAGGCTGAGCCGGTGGCCATATTCTAGAGGCCCGGTGAGGCTGCAGTCCAGAAGGAGGGCTTGTGTTTTGGCTTAGGTCACTGGGTGTCTGGCTTGCACACCGGGCAAAGCCCAGATACAGAAGGAGGAGCCGCTGGGGGATGGGGACAGCAAAGAACCAGGTTTGTTCCACTGAGTTTGAGGTGCGCCTAACAGTTTCCATCCTAAAAAGAACAGCGGAGGCCCCATCTGACGTGGGGCCTGTGTCCAGGTCGTAGCCACAGCCGACAAACTGTCACTTGCAGTGTTCTCCCACCTCCCACCTTAACCGTGAATCAGGATCGTCGGCCTCCCGCCAGAGAGCCAGCCCCCAGCCTTCGGCCCTGCCGCAGCCTGCTCTTCTTCCTGTTCCCCTCCGTGCCCAGAGGTCCAGGTCCTGTCTGCCCCCACCCCAGGGCCAGGGCTGCGTGGAGCATCGAAGCAATGCCTCGGCGGCAGGAAGAGGCCATGTGGGTCTGGGGGGCGACAAAGGTCCAGGCTCCTGGTGCCTGGAGTGTGGTGGAGAAAGGTCGGGTGGGCCTGTGTCTATGGACGCTCACCCTGGGGGCCTCAGCCGGGGAGGGCTGCGGCCTCCGCCCTGCCCTCCGGACGGTGGGCTGTGCAGCCAGGCCTGAAGGCGATATGAGTGGAGGGGTGTCCTGAGCAGTTAGATTTACGAGGATTGGAGCTGGAGTGGCGCAGGCATCTCAGGATCCTCAGCAGACAAGTTGGTGGTAGTTGGAGCTGGAGAGGCAGGCTGTGCAGAGAAACACACGCCCTACCCGTCTCACACTTGTGGACACCCATGGCCTGTGTTCCACAGAAGTACATCTGGAACTCAGTGTGGGAAATGGACAGTGCGTGGCTCCTGTGGTTAGAGACGGAGCTCCAACCCCAGCTGTGTGACTTCCCAACTGCATAGCCCTGGGCAGTGGCATTGTCACCCTGAACCTGCCTCCCGTGTAATGGGTACAGTGATGCTTCTTAAATAGATGCAAGGAGTGGCTGAGGCACTACTGCGGAGCACTGTGATGACTGGACAGTTGTATAAGGTTACAGGGATCGAAATGTCTATTATTAAAAACAGAAAATTACAGTTGCCCATAGGGTCTCCTCTGCCGCATCGTGCGCCCAGCAGAGAACTGCGAGCTGGGCAGAGATGAGAACCTGGTGACAGAACCACAGGCAGGAAGGGGAGGGGCCTGTTCGCAGTCCGGGGCCTGCACCTTCCCCTTTCTCTCCCCCAGGCCCTGGGGGAAGAAGGGCGTGATTCTCTCTGGACCATTGCTGAGGCGTGGGGGGTGGTGCGGGTAAGGGCCCGTGAGGCACTGGGCCTGGGAGTGGAGGCTCCTGGCCTGTGGGCAGGAAGTGTGAGGTGCGCAGCAGCTGGGGAGCCCTGGGGAGGCCAGGGGAGCAGAGCGGGAGGGGTGAGAGTGTCTGGGGGTGCGGGGAACGGAAGTCGGAAGCGCCAGCCACCACATTCACCACTCACAGGACGGACAGGCTGTGCAGCAGGAACTGCCCCCTGGGGCCAGGCTCACTGGTCCTTTCCTGGGGTCTTTGAAGGTGAGTGAGGTGGGCCTGCTTGGTGTGGGCCTGGGCCGGAGCTGAGAGAGTAGGGCAGGGAGAGTCCTGTGTGCCCTGGGGCAGTGGCTTGAGCAGATGAGCAGAAAGGAAGCCACTGTGAGCCCTGCCGTGCACCTGCTGTGAGCCTGGCCTGGGCTGTACCCAACCTGCCCCCTTCCCTCTCTTCTTCCCCCTCTGCTCTCACCCCTCCCACCTCATCTGGCCCTTTCTCTGCTTTTTGCTGCAGCCCTTGGGGTCTGCAGTAGTGAACGTGGGGGGCCCAGAAAGTTTCTGGGGTGCATGGCGATTGCTGTGGCTGGGTGGTCAGTGGGCGCCCTTAGGGACTAGGGCTCAAGTAAGCCTTGACCCTCGACCTTTAAGAGAAGGAGGCCAGACAGACTGGGTTTAGAGCGGCTGGGGTGGGGGGGTGCGGGGGCGGTGGGGGGGCAGCCTTTGGGTGTGGTCAGACTCCGCTCAGACTCAGCTGTTTGGGGGCTCCCAGAGAGGCCGGTGAGAGGCAGGGGCCTGACCTGCCAGTTTGCCAGGTTAGCTCTCTTTATCCCTGTGGACCTGATGGCAGCGGAAGCCGTGTCACTCTCTGGCCCTGCGAGGCGCTCTGAGGCTTACTGCTGTATCCGTGCCCTGGAGGTGAAGCCGGCCTCCTGGAGGACCACCTCTCACACTGCCCCTGGTTCCAGAACTCCAGGTGCTGCTCCGCCAACAGGCTGGGCGGGCGACCTGTCATCAGCCAGTATTAGTCCCCTCGGGGCTGGGGGCCTTTGTGGGGGGGGTTGAAGGATAGGCCTCAAATGGACCTGTCTCCCAGCCTCTTGGGACATCTACAAATAAGGAACCAGCTCAGGGCTCAGAGCCTGGCTGCTGAGCTGTTTATGGAGTGGGGGGGGGTCCAAGAAGGGGTGCGGAGACAGCCAGGTCTGAGCCCTCCCCGTGCACCCTGCCCCTCCCAGGCAGCAGCTGCTCTGAGACCTGTCCGTGCTCTGCCTCATCCTCTCTGCCCTTTTCATTCTTCCTCCTGCAGTCCTAGCCCTCCCACCACTGGGCCCTCGGCACCCCTGGAGCCTCCCCCCTCCCCCCGCACATTTGCATGCTTGCTCCTGTGTGGGCAGGAAGTGGGGCGGCCCTGCACGGTCTCACGGTGCTCGGTCTCCAGGTTCAGGCCAGGCCTCAGTCCTGCAGCCCCAGAGGACTCCACGCTTGGCTCCCGAGGGACAGCACTTTGTGCCGCTCCTGCCGGGGCTGCGCAGGGACGGCACTGGTCACTTCCTCCATCCCTGGACAGGCCAGGAGCCTTTACTTTTTCCATAGGAAGGGGAAAAATTTCAGAGCAAAAGGAAGGAGCATGTGCTGAGCGGAAGCTTGGAGGGAGAGACATTCACACACAGTCCTGCAGGAGACTCAGTGCGGGCTCGGTGGGGCGGGGGGTGGAGGGGCAGCCGAGCGAGTGAGCCCACTGGGCTGCCTGTGCTCTCGGGGAGGCTGTTTGTTTTTGCTTCTCTGAGTGGACTTTCAAAGTAGCAGAGTTAAATGGGCAGGGCATGGTGTTTCTGAGCGTCAGCCAAGACCCAGGCCCAGCAGGGCGCTCAGACCCATTTCCACTTTATAACAGACCAATGGGGTAGCTTACTGCACCTTATTTCCGTATTTGACAGATGAGGAACCAGGTGGAGTTTGTGACCAAGCCAATGGCTGATCAGCTGCAGTCAGGATTTCAGTGCAGTCTGTGGACCTCGGGCGTGAGGCCTGCAGAATGCCCAGGCTGTCGCCTCCCCCTCGGGGCAGGCTGAGCCCAGCCTCCGGCAGGCAGAGCGCAGGCTGCGTGACCATGCAGGGGAAGAGCAAACCCACTCCCCCAAACCAGGGTCTAGTGCCAACTGGGTTCCCTCCCGTCCCAACATCAAAATGAAACCACCTCGAAGCCCAGAGTGGCGTGGAGCCAGCAGTGGGTGGGGGGCATTGCGTTCTCTTGGCCCCCCGGCTCAGTTTCTGTGTCCTTTACCCCATCAGCTGGGCACCGGTGTAGCCCCTGCAGAGTTCTCCTAAAGAGACCCCTCCAGATGGGAGGCCATGAAATGAATTCAGCCGCCTGTGCTCAGAGGGGGAGGGGGCGCCTGGGGCCACAGCGATGGCCCCAGGAGACAGTCATCTCCACTTTCCACCTCTGTGCCCTTCCCTCACTGTCTCCAGAACTTAAGCATTTTCTTGTATTCCAAACAACCATTCCACTTCTCCCAGAACTTATCTTCAAATGTAAGAAGGAGAGGACAAGGCAGGGAGAGGATGGTGGGGTGGAGAGAGATAACAACTGAGATGATAGATAGATAGATAGATAGATAGATAGATAGATAGATAGATAGATAGATAGATAACAGGTAATAGGTAGATGATAGATATTTCTTAAACCCCCAGTTGCAGGGTCCCTTCCATGAGGGACCACCCGTTTGTGCCCTCCGGAGGGGGCCCTCCCGAGGGCACAAACGAGGACACTGTGGGTTCTCAGTCTCCTCTCTGTCCTGCTGCTCCTGGGAGCCAGGAGCACACGCGAGCGTGTTGGCCGCTGGCCAAGCAGGAGCACCCAGGGGCAGGTCCCGTGGTGCTGGGCTGGGAGGATAGTGTTGGCTCCTGGGCAGCCTGGCCCTCAGGTCATAAGGTCACATGATGCCAACTCTTCTCCCAACTCCTGCTCACCAGGCCTCCAGTGAGTCTGTTGAGAATCTGTCCCTGGAGGCCACCCTGCCGTCCCTCAGCCTTGGTCTCACAAACGCCTCTGGAGTGCCGCCTGAGTCCAGCGGGCCTTGCCCTGGACAGTGAGAACAGATGACTGAGTGACTGCTGGCAGGGATTTGTGAATGCCCTGGGGTTTGGTTGGTGGTGGGAAGACAGTGACATTAAGAAGGCCCCACCCGACGTCCCTGCTGAGCTCCCCACATGCTTCTCAAACTTGGAGCCTCGGCTTCTCCACTAGTGGGAAGAGAAGATGGTACGGCTTGTCCTGCCGGCGGAGTGGCTGAGGGAGTGTGCGGTGGAGCTCGGGCGGTGGTGGGCATGTGCATGGCCCCATGCGGCCCTGGGCCACGCCCGTGGGGCAGGGCTGCCGCATGAGATGCAGGATGCCCACTCGTGTTTGTGTTTCACATAAACAATGAACAACTTTTAAGTACAAGTATGTCCCCAGCACTGGGAATGGGAGGTGGGCATCCTGTATATTTATTTACAGAACATGGCAGCCCAGCCACATGGCTGTGGCCCCCACGTGGAGCCAGGACCCCACCATCAAGCTCTGTAAGCCTGTGTCTCACAGGTGGTCCTGAACTTCTTAGTCGACACCCAACATTACTTTTCCAATCTGAACGGAAGCACAACAAAATACCCCACCCCGAACTGTGTAGGTGGCAGTGAGCACAGTATCAGCAATCGCTGAAGTCATTCGGCCACCCAGCCTGTCTCTAATGGGTCACCCGAGGCAGAACCTGCCTCTGTGGCGCGTGTGTTCTGGGAGAGGGGGACACGAGACTCGGGTGAGTGCTCTGTGAGGGGTGCAGTGCAGTGGGCTGAATTTCACTGGTTCAGAGTCATGACCCCATCGACCTGCGTACTGGGCCCCCGCCAACTGCTGTCAGTCTGTCTGTCGGTCTGTTTCTCTCTTTGTCCTCTCGTGGCGTCCGGCTCCCCTCCTCAGACTCCCCCACCTCTTCCAAGCCCTGCAGACCTCTTGGGCCCCTGCACTGTCCCTTCTCTTTATTCTCGGGGCCTTTCCACTTGGAATCCCGTGAGGAACATCTGGTTTCTTCTGGGGTTGCAAATCCAGTGTCCAGCGTAGAATTACCATTGACCTGTGTGGCTGCTTTGTGTCATATACACATTTATTTATAAGTACCTGTTCGCAAAGATGAACATAAGAAAGTCACAGGACACCCTTTAGATAACCTGCCCACATCTCTGTTCTGTTACTGGCTTTTGAACTTTTCCTGCAGGCGAATTCACTAGCAACAGCAGGGGTGTGGTGGCACAGAAGCAGGCCGGGTCCACAGGAACTCTTAAAGCGGCACACATTCGGGGGGTGGTGGTGAGGGGGATGGAGGAACAAGGACACGCTGGAGAAGGGTCCCAGAGGGGGCAGCTCACACAAATAGGCCTCAAAAGGGAGGGAGGGCCCGGGGGTCTGGGAAAGGTGCTGGGAGTGCCCATGTTCAGGTCCCTGTAAACCAGGTGCTTTTCTCTCTTCCCTTCACCTCTGCCCGCCCCTCCCCTAGTTTAGATGTGTCTCCTTAGAGTTTCCGGTGCTCAGGAGGCTGCAGTGAGGGTGTTCTACCTCCTGCTCCCTCTTAGTCACTCCCCACCAGGTGGTTCCGGGCAGGGAGTCCAGAGGGGCTGCCCAAGTACAGACCATGGGTCCTGAGGCTCACTCCTCCCACCCCCTTGGAAACGGGATCATGGCAGGTCTCTCAGCGGGAGAGGACTAAGAGCAGAAAACAGACCACAACTTGGGGAGCAGGGAGCCAGGGCTAGGGGGCAGCCCATGGACTGCCCAGCCAGTAGCTCGGGAGAGGGGTGCGGGGTAGGGAGAAAGGCCTGGAATGACCACTGAAGGCTGAGCGAAGAGATCGGGAGACCCCCCGGAGACAAGGGAAAGGCAAAAACAGTTTCAGTGAGTTTGAATCAGAGCATCAAATACACAAATGAGAATGAGAAATGGGGGGTCACAGTTTGCTGGGGGCAGGGATTGACTGAGAACCCAGCAATAAATGGGCCTTAAGGCTGGGTGAGGGCCTTTCCTGGGGCTCAATGACCTATTCCTGCTAAAAGTGAGGGGTGCGGGGTTGGGTCTGAGGGAGAGGTGGAAACCCAGAAATGAACTGTGTTTTGCATAGTGGTTGGGTTTTGAGGGAGGACAGTTTCAAGAGGAATAAGAAGCTGCAGTTCTTGGTGGTCCTGTTTCATCTCCCGCAGGCCCCCTCTTGCAAGAGGCACAGCCCAGGCTGTGGCCGCCCGGGGCCTTCAGCAACAGGGCTCGTCTGGCCTTGGTTTCCTGCTCCTGGGCTCCCATTTACCGAGTGTGTAAGGTGGGACATCGGGGGGGTGAGTCACACACAGTCGCAGGTGGTCAGCATGTATCTGAGTGTATGTATACGCTTGTTCTACCAAATATTTCATACAGATGACTGGCACACACAATCTTCAAGATAGAAATATATGAGTTAGGGGTTTGAGGCCAAGGGAAAATAAGAGAAGATGAGATGAGGCGAGGGGTGCATTCCAGACTGGAGCAGCATGTCCTACGGGCCTGTCTGCTTAATCTCACAGTTCCTGAGAGCCGGTACAAGGCGGAGATAGTCCAGTTACGAGTTGCACAGTGGCCAGGAGAGCAAAACTGATCAGTTGTTCTGAAGAAGCAGCCCTCCCCCGCACCGTCCTGCAAGATAGGCCGCAGAAGATAAGGCCCTGCCCCGAGCTCTAGTGCTGGTGCGGCTGCTGGGGCAGATGCACAGGGCAGCGCTGAGCAGGTGCGGTGCAGCCTGGGCCACGTGTCCCCAGCCTCCCCTCCTCTGCAGGAAGCATCCACTCTGCAGGAGACCAGGCCCAGCTTAGAGCTTAGTGGGTGCCTGGACCTGCGTCCACCTGGCCGAGCTGCACAGCTGTAAGTGCGGACCAGCTGGCCTGTCTTGCAAAGGATGCAGTCCCTGAAGATATGAGCCTCGGGGAGTGGGCAAAAGGCAGGTTGTGGTGCACCTTCTTAGGTGCCTGCTTCTTCCATGAGAGATTCTGTCTCATCCTTTTTGACTCTAGTCTATGTCTCTGGCTGCCACCTGCTTTGGTTTACATGTTGTTTTTGGCTTGCCCCTGATTTCACACTATTCTGAGGCATTTCCACCTTCTGCTGCCAACCCCCTGTCCATTCTCCAGTCTAGATCCCCGAGAGGGTCTGGTTTGGTGAGTCCGTCTTTTTTCAGCGAAGCCACTTCGGCCCACAGATGGGTGTGTTTTGAGCAGGCTGGCCGAGACGGCAGGGTCCGGGGGGCATGGGTACATGGTGCACTTCTGCAGCACAACGCTGTGCAGGGCGCTGTGCCTCAGCCGGGCCCAGGGACGTGCCAGGGACTCCCACACTGCCGACTCACGGGACAGGAGCTGGAAGCCCTTTGCTGACCTGCATTTGCTTTGGGCACTTCCAGGGCCGAGTGGATTCCCGATGCCCCTGTGGCCGGTGCTCCCCCAATCCACAAAATGAGACGGTGAAGGTGGACACTTCTGGGGGCTCCTGCACGCTTGCTCTCTGTGGATGATGGGTGACGAAAGACTCTGTGAACACCCCAATCCTGTGGAAGTTCTCAACGTCTATTTGGGAGACAATCTGCAGCCCCGCCAAGGAGTGCACCCGAGGGAAACACGCAGCCATCTGGACCCGCCCAACCCTTTCCCGGAACAGACCTGGGCATCCAGTCAGAAAGAGCATCTAACTCTTTCTGGTTCCACGAGGCAAGATGCTCCTCCCGGGGGCTGCAGCGCAGAGCCTGAGGGCCAGGGGAGCAAGTCTCCCCAGGAGGGCCCACGGCAGAGCCAGAGTTCATCGACCCAAGTGGTGTTCTGGGCGGGTATCCTGCAGGCCCAGATGTGTGTCCTGGACCTGGAGGAGGAGCTCGAGAAGACTGAGGAGCTCAGGGCAGGGCTGAGGTCCTGCATCCCCAGGGCCCCTGTGGACTGCCCCCCTTTCTCCTCCAACCCGGCCAGCCCCCTGGACTCAGGCCTCCAGCCCAGGCCACCCAAGGAGGCGGCCTCTGGGGAATGCGGCAGCAGAGCTGAGGGAGCGGACCTGGCCTTGGGAAGCCCCGGGGAGGAGACTCCAGGCTCCTCCCCGGAGTGGGGCGCTGAGGAGGAGAGCGCTTTCTGTGACAACCCCCTCTTCCTGGGGAGCCCTTGCTCAGACACCGATGCTCCCAGAGAGCACTTTCCCTGGCGGTTCCCGGCCTCCTGCTCTGATGCGAAGCCTGAGAGCCCGCAGACGCTGGAGCCTCCTCGGCTGGGAGGCAGCGAGCCAGGGGGACTGGGAGATGAGCCAGACTCAGGGGATCACATGGCTAATTCCAGCGGGCACAGCACCCCTCCGTTCCCCGTGCCCACCTACACACCGCACTCCTCCTTCCGGGCAGCACTGGACACCACCCACCAGGCTCCGGCAGCTCCACCTGGACTGGGCGAGGGTGAGGTAAGCTGGGCCCCGGGAACTGAACCGACCCAGAGCTGTGCGTGGGGACACAGGAGCACAGGCCTTACTCTGCCGTCACGGGGCCCAGAACACTCTTCAGATGCCAGGTCCTTTCGGAACCTGGGGTAACATAACTGACATAACAGGAAGGCAGGGTCAGTGGGGCCTTCAGAATGACAGGAAACGTTACCGGTGCCACAGTGTCAGGTGACGTCGCCTCCAGTGTCTCCAGCCCCCAGCTCTGAGGGTGGCACTGGCAGCTCCTCCAGGCGGGGGCCCTTCTCAGACTCGGCCCCTCCCACCTCCAGCACATCGCTCACTGTAGCTTCAGGGGTCAGCTGCCGAGGGGACCTCTGCGCCTGGCAGGAGAGTTCTGTTAGAGTCCTGTCCTCTCTTTTCTCAGAGATTTCAGCATTTCGTTACTTTCAGCTCACCCTCTTTCAGTCCTCCTCCCTGCCCAGTGTCAGTAGATCAAGCTCATGTGACAATGGCAGAGGTCCTTGAGAGCAGCTAAGACAAGTCATGCGGACAAGTGTGTGGGACCACAGGGAGCACAGTTTTCCCGGGGAGGCCTCTGCTGAAGAGATAAGGAAAGTCCAGGTGGCAGAGCAGGGCTGTGACTCTCTGACCTCCCGGTCCCAGGGAGCGGGGACCTGTTACCAGGAGAGCGGAGGTGCTGCGGAGTGTTGCCCCTCCCCCACAGGCTGGGGTCCCAGTGCGGGCCGGCCTTCTGGTGGGGCCTTGGGGGCATCAGAGGAAAGATGGAGAGACCTGTCCTCATCCTCCTCAGAGCTTGCAGGGCTGGTGCTTGGGCGGTGGGGGTGGGGGGGGGGCGGGGGCCAGGACCTGGGGCCTGGAGGCCTCGGGAACTGTTTCCCGAGTCAAACCGTTCTCCTCTCCTTTCCTCCTCTAAGACTTCTCTGGCGGGCAGTTTCCATCCTGCAGCATCCTGTGTGGACAGAGCACTGACCTGGGAAACACGATATATCAGATCTGGCCCTGGCCCTGCTGCCCATCCTGTGCAGCCTTCGGCAAGTAACTCCCCCTCTCTGTGCCTCACCTTCTCCATCTGCAAAGGTGGAGTGTGAACCCAGTGGTTTCAGGGCTCAGTACCAGCACCCCTAGGATGCAGGTCTTCTCCCATCCGGGGTTCCTCCGCTGCATTCGGGGCCTAGGCTGGGTGGGAAAGCAGCAGGGAGGGTGGGCCCTGAAACTCAGTCATTCTCCCCGACCTCGCTCCCTGCCGGGACTCCCCCTCCACCTCTCAGGACCTCCAGGGCTCACCACTGCCCTGTGCCTCTCAACAGGCCCTGCCCGGTCCTGAGGGCTGGCAGACTGAACAGGGTCCTCCCTGGCCCTGGGTGCCCCTTATCTCCCAGGACAGAGGTGAGACCCAGTGTGGGGTCTGGGACATTGGGTGGCGGGAGACTTTGGATCCGGAGTGGGACAAAGGTCACTCTTGGCTCCATGGCTGTCATGAAGGGTCCTATTGTACCATGTTGGAGCCAGACAGACTGGGGGCTAAATCCTGCCGCTGCCTCTGTGACATGGTCAGGACCGTGGGTTTCAAATACTCATCTCATAGAATACGTGACGAAATGCACGAGAGACGCAGCGTTTTTGATGCCTGAATCTTAGTGGTTAATCCCTCCTGAGCCCTGGGGCTGGGTTTGTGGGAGCCCCATGCCCTCTGCCTCTGCACGTGGGAGGTCACTGCCCGCGGGAGGGATGGGACGTGCCGCACAGCCGTAGGGAGAGGGCCTGGGGAGGAGGCGGCAGCTGTCCTGGCGCTGCCAGGCCCCCCGGCCCTCAGTCTGCCGCTCTGCTCGCCCCTGCCAGTTCACTCCTGCTCTTTCTCAGACGATAGAGATGCTGAGTGTTCCCAGGAGCCTGCTCCCTGCACCCCAGCCTCTGGCCCCTGGTGGGGCCCAGACGCTGCACCGGAGCCCAGCCGCCCTGAGTCTGAGGACAGAGACCCCGGCTCCAGGCCTGGCCCTATGTCCTCCCAGGAGGGCAGACCTCAGCCCCAGAGCAGCCACCCCAGTAGCATCTTCCCCACGTGGACCCTGGAGACTTCCTGCCCTTCACTCCTGGAGACAGACAGGGCACAGCCTGGTTCCTTGGAGAGAGAGGAGGCCAGAGAAGCCCCAGCCCCAGGGGAGGAAGTGAAGAGTGAGGGCCCTGCTGGCACCACAGACGCCAGAGCTGTCCAGCCCACTGTTCACCTGACGCCTTCAGGAGGGTAAGTGCGGGCCTGGCGGGCCAGAGGGCCCTGGTCTGGGAGCGGGAGGAGTGCATCCCGGGATTTAACACACTAATGCCAGCTAAGCCAGGGCTATGTGCCCAGGCACCAGCGGGGCTTTGAGGAGGGTTTGAATGCACCGGAAACCAAAGAGCAGAGAGTCACCCACATGGGGAGGATTTCAGTGTGTCGATCAGCGCCCCAGAAGACCTGCTCAAAGCTAGACAGCAGGAGTGGCAGGGTGGTGTCCAGGAAACCTGACCAGGGTCAAGTGCCCGGAGAGATGGGAGTCGTGCTAGGTAGGTTTGGGGTGCGGGAGGTCAGAGCACGTGATGTGGTTTTCACAGGCTTCAAATTTGAGGAGGCGTCTGGGAGAAACTGGTCTGAGAGGCTGGGCCCGGGAGGCTGGTTCTGCTCTCAGGGAAAGCCAGAGCAGCCAGGCGAGGTTCGAGTGGGACCGAGGGAATGGTCTGGGCCTGGAGCAGGGTGGAGCATCCCCAGAACTATGTCCAGAGGTGTGAACAGGCCAGGCGGGAAGCCAGCCTAGTTCTGCCCCTCTGGCTGGTGCGTGAAGACATCAGCCCCTGGGGTCTCCACTCAGGAAAGGGCTCTGTTCTCCAGAGAGCTAGTGAGGGGTCCTGTTGATGAGACCAGCGATGGTGCAGATCATGGACCTGAAGTTGTATTGACAGCAGGGTCAACCCCACTCCCAAATCTGTGTCCCCGGGTGACAGCTACGGAGCCCATCAGTCAGTATCAGGGTCAAACAGCCAACCCCTCATGCATCTGGAAGATTCTGCTGCCCCTGGAGGTGCTCAGAGGCTGGGCGATCTGAGGGGCCTCTCAGCAGCTAAGGGAGAGGGCACTGTGCCGAATCTAAGGTCACCTCAGCCCAGAATGAGATTCACTGAAATGGAAGCCACACTTTCATAGTGAATGATGAAAGGTTTCATTGGGGCTTTTCATGACAAGCAATAATAAGTATCCCATAAATAAGTTTATATATATAACCTTATATTTAATACAATATAAGAGGTTTAATTCTCCCGGCACAAGCTTGCTGGCCCAATAGATGTCTTTCATTCACACCTGACTTTCACAGTGGGATCAGAGAGGTTTATTTATTTTTTTATTGCATTAACAGCTCTACTAAGATACAATTCGATCATTCACAGTATCCGGTCCCATGACCGTTTCTATTTGGAAAGTGCCTCTGTCTAGGGACCATTTTAGGAATGACACCTACTCAAGGGCACTTGTAAAGAATTCTCGGGCTTCGTCCGCTGACTCTCCAAACAGTCCCCTTTAGATGGGACGGGCGTGTCCTTTTCCTTTCCTGCTCCTCAGCTGCCCACTGACCCAACTGTCCCGTCCCCTCTTCTTGTGGTTCCCGCCACTGACTTCATGAAATCCTAGGGCTGTTGTTTTCTTTAATGAAGATTTGTAATTTCATTTTTTGGTTGGTTTCCACTGTGTCCGACCTGCCCTGTGGGGCACGTGTGAGCCTCCGGACGCCATGAGAAGATAACAAACAGCGAAGATGCTGACCCGGTCAGGCCAGCGGGGGTAGTTTATCAGGACATTTTCACCGAAGGAGGAGTGCCGCTGCCCTGCGCAGTCCCTCACTGTGGGAACCTGGATAACCAGCATTCGCATAGGGAAGGTTCCCTGCTCCAGGCTGTGACTGGAGAGCCGGGGAGAGGTGGGAGGTGGTGACTCCTGTGGTTCTGAGAGCCACTCTGAGGCTGTGGGGGCTGCTGGCCTGCACTCACTCACAGCAGGTCACCGTCCACCTCCCACAGTAAAGCACTCATTATCACAGTGCCAGGGAGGGACAAAACCACCTGACTCCCCGGCCTTCGCCATTCCTGAAGTCAGTCTAGCTGCCTATTCTTGACTCATCCTCGCACCTTTTTCGGTTCTGGGGCATCTAGCTGTGAAGCTGGAGCTGGAGCAGGCTCTCTGAGGGCCCCTCCGGAGTCTGAGCACATGGACTTTTCTAGGCTTCCTGAGGACCCCATGCCCCAGGAGAAGTCCCCAGAGGAGGGCCAGGGGCCGCAGGCTGCAGACAAGCTGGCTAATGGCGTCAGGACGGAGAAGCTGGCCTGGGACCTGGCCTCCCGCCTGTACCGCCTGGAGGGCTTCCGGAAGTCCGAAGTGGCTGTGCACCTGCGGAAGAAGTAAGGGGCTCTGAGCCAGGAGGCTCCAGGGTCCCTGCGACCCTGCACCCTGCTGCTGACCTCTGACCCCATTGTTCCCCATTGTGACCCCTCCCCATCCTCTCTCCACACCTGCCTCTTTGTCACACTGGTGTCATTGCCTCTCCACACCTTTGACCTAGTTTAGAGCCACTGGACCGGCCCTTTGCCTCCCTGCCCTGACTGCACGGTCCCTCCCACCCAGCCTGAGGTCAGGTGCCGGTACAGACCAGACCCTGGCTGCCCCTTGCCCTCTCTGGACCCCAGGTTCAGCTGGCTGGGCCTCTGCCTTGCTTGGGACCCCCAGCCCTGCTTCTCAGGTCCCAGGATGTGTGCAGGCCCTGGGCTCCCTCTGTGCCTACGGCCCTGCCCAGACCCCCAGCCCAGACTTTATCTCCACTTCCCTCCACAGCGACGACTTCAGCAGGGCTGTGGCTCAGGACTACCTGTCCTTCTTCCAGTTTGGTGGCCAGAGCCTGGACCGCGCCCTCCGGTAATGCCTTGGGCTCATTCTGGGGAGGAGGGATGGCGGGGGCTGGGATCAGGCCGAGCCCTGGGGCCTGCGGGCCGCCCTGCCTGGGCGCCGTCCTGCCTGGGCGCCGTCCTGACGCTGGCCCTCCTCCCAGGGGCTTCCTCCAGGCCCTGGTGCTCAGCGGGGAGACCCAGGAGCGGGAGCGAGTCCTCTACCAGTTCTCCAGACGCTTCCATCAGTGCAACCCTGGGCTCTTCTCCTCAGTGGGTAGGAGGGCAGGGGTCTCTGGGGTATGGGGGAGAGTGTTATGGCATGTCCCCGGGCCCACTTGGGAGTTCCCTGGGTGATAGCTGGGGGGAGTGGGAGGAGCTGTGGAGAAACAAGCATTTGGGGGTCACCCGCCCAGTGTGGGCAGAGGAAAAGCAGAGTTCAGTTTTAGCGCTTTCTCTCCACTCACCCCTCTCTGAGGCAGATTCCATACACACCTTGACCTGTGCTATCATGCTCCTGAACACGGACCTGCACGGACAGGTGAGCGTCTGGGGAGTGCACCTGTGGGACGCAAGGCAGGGTGTAGAAGAGGGCAGTTGGGACCAGAGGTCTGGGACGCAGCCAGGAAAGGCCCTGAGCAAGTGGAGAAGGGTCCAGAGTGGCTGGCTGGGCGTTCTCCTTTTGCGGGGGAGATGCCAGGTGTCCCTCCTCTCTCCATGGCCACAGAACATTGGGAAGAGCATGAGCTGCCAGGAGTTCATTACCAACCTGAACGGCCTGCAAGACGGTGGAAACTTCCCCAAGGAGCTGCTGAAGGTGCGGTACAAGGGGCTGCTCAGGACGGTTCCCTGCTTGGGGCCTGGGCCTGGCTCCTGGTTCCCTCGGGCCTGGCTCTGCCCACACACCCTCCAGAGGACAGGGCCGAAAGGGACTGAAGGGTCATCGTGGGATTTGTTAGCCTATGCAAATTCCCAGCCCCCAGCCCGGACCTACTGAACCACTGGGGCCCCCGAACCGCTGGGGGCCCCAAAATGGTCATCAAGCTTACAGGTGATTCCTAGGCCTGGGAAATCTGAGAAGTACTGGGTTTTGGTTCAGCAAGTGAACAAAGGCAAAACATCAAGAAGAAAAAGTCTAGAGCCAGGAGAGTGGTGCTCCGGGCTTTGAATTCTTGTTTTGGACAACCTGACCCCCAGCCAGCTCGGGTCCCCCCCCAAGGTAGAACCACTTACAGTGTCGTCATCATGATGACAGGAAGGGTGTCAGGTGCTCAGCGCAGCACCGGGCACACAGTGCACTTTTCATCAGCAACGACAGCATTCGTTCCTTTGTCCAGTCAGTGAACTTTCATTGAGCACTTACTATGTGCCAGGCACCTGTAGCTGTGCCCAGGGCTACACAAAGCTGATGGGCGGTGTCTGCATGAGTGCTCTTCATGGCATTTCAAAGTTCGGCACCTCACTTACTCATTCACCACAGTTCTTGGCCCCATCGGTCAGCCAGTCCTGCTCTGCCAGCTCCCTCTGGGCAGGACGGTATGTGGATGATTCATTTCCCACGGAGAGAACAAGTTTGGGCCTCAGTGAGCTCAGGCAGGGACTGGGACAGCTGTGGTCACCTTGACTCAGTTTCTGGTGGTTGCATGTGTGTGCGTGCTAGAAGCGTGGATGAGCTCCTTCCCATTCAAGGAATGCCCCCACCTGACCTCCGCCAGGTGGGGTTTGAGCCTTGCAGCCCGAGGCTACCCTGCCACCTGTGTGCCTCTGTTTCAGGCCCTGTACTGGTCTATCCGAAGTGAGAAGCTTGAGTGGGCCCTGTAAGTGAAAGCGCCTTCCCCTCCCCGCACCCCTGCCTTACCTCTGGGCCTGTCCTTTCTCCACCCCTGGCCCACCTGAAAGAGGGACAAGTTCAGAGCCCAGGGCCAGCCTGAGATGGTGGACGCACCCAGATAATACTTGGAGGAGCCAGAGGCAGGGGACTTGAGGATGACAGGAACTAGTGGGTTGGCCTCGAAGGATTTCCTTTGGGGTATCCTGAGGTGTGGAGCCCCCATGAGAGAGAAAGGGTAGGGGTGCTGAGGCACTGGGTGCTTCCTGGTGGCCTCTGCCCAGAGAGCACCTCCGCTTGATTCTCTCTGTTCAGGGATGAGGAAGACACAGCCAGACCTGACAAGGCCCGGCCGTCGCCCACAGTTGGCAAGATGAACAACCCCTTCCTCCAGCTGCTCCAGGACCCCACGGTGCCCACCTACAAGCAGGGCATCCTGGCTCGAAAGATGCATCACGATGTGGACGGCAAGAAGAGTGGGTGTCTGCCACTGCTGTGCGGGCCTGTCTGTGTGGGGGTGCCGAGCAGCTCTGCTCGGGGACACGTGCCGACGTGTGCACAGGTTGAGGACAGGCAGTCCACGTTCCTTTCTGGACAGTGACTGGTGCAGGTGCTGTGTAAGACACAGAAGGGACCGAACACTCCTGCCCCAGAGCCCCTGTGCTAAGGCAGACATCAGACAGGCCTGTCGGTGTCGGAGAGGTGCAGGGAGGGCTGGATGCAGTACGGGGTGTGGCGGAGAGCGAGGTCTGGAGTTTTGTTTTGTGGGTGGGGTGTGGGAGGCAGCAGGGGTACGGCTCCTAGAAAATGATAACGTCCGAGCTGAACCCTGGAGGGTCTGGGTATTTGAAGTTGGGCAGACAGTGCCCTTCCCCCGAGAAAGAAGCTGGCATAGTTTGTTCCAAACATGGGGTGTGTGGAAGAGACTGGTGGGAGATACATTTGGGCAAAATTGTCCGGTTCTGCACCTGGGCAGTTTTGCAGGTGGTTGGAGCTTTTGAGCGGGGCAGCAACGTAACCAGAGCGGGAACCTCAGGTCAGATGGGCACCAGCCAGGGAACTAGCACTCCACACGCCCTGTGCAAGGCCGGGGGACTGCAGGGGAGCAGGCCCCCTCCTGCCCAAGGGCTTGAACCCTGTGCCTGTCTGGAAGGGTTCCTGAAGTCAAGATCACCTTGCAGGGACCAGAAAGATGTCTGGGTTAAGGCTGTGCTTGTGGGTGGGTGTGTCAGGAGAGGTGATGTTCTGTCCGAATGTCAAATTTGTTGTTTGTCAATGGTTTGATCTGTTTTGGTTTCTATGTATGACTGCCTGTGTGTGACATGGGTATGTGCCTGTTTGTGACTGTGTGGTTTGTGTGTGTATGCACCTGCGGTTGGGGGAGGGACTGGAGCTGGTGTGAGGGGTGAGGAGAGGGGGCCTGGGTGTGTCTGGGCGCCGTGCCCCCACCCACCTGTGTGTTCTGCTCCCGGAACAGCACCATGGGGCAAGCGCGGCTGGAAGATGTTCCACACTTTGCTTCGAGGGATGGTCCTCTACTTCCTGAAGGTAGGAAGGGTTTCCACACTCTGATGGGCAGACAGGGTTGGAAGGGCCCAGAATGATTGCAATGGTGGGCAGCTTATGAAGCCCTCTTTTCTGAGTCTCTGTGCCCTGTGGCAGGAAGAGGACCGTGGCCTCGAGGGGGAGAATTTGATGGGGCAGATGGTAGACGAGCCTGTGGGGGTGCACCACTCGCTGGCCACGCCGGCCACCCACTACACCAAGAAGCCATACGTCTTCCAGCTGCGGACTGCTGACTGGCGCCTCTACCTCTTCCAGGCACCGTGAGTCTGGGGTGGATGATGAGCAGCAGCGCCCCAGGTCCCTGTCCCCTGAGCCTGGCCCACTCTGGTGCCTGCTGGCCCAGCCCTGGTGGGAGCTGCCACCTTGATCAGCCAACCTTAGCACAGTTGGAAGGGGTCTAGGGCTCCTGCTTCCCTGCCCTGTGCCCATGGCCCACATTGCCAATGTACTTGTGCATGTGTTCATTGTAAGTCCAGAGCCACCTCCTGGTTCTGAACAGAGGATTTCAGGAAGTCACTAACATGGTATTTTTGGCATTTGATGTAAAATCTATTGCCTTCCTGGATTTTCCTCTTTGATGAATGAGAAACCGCGGCAAGAGGTCAACCGTTCTGCTAGCTGCAGGGCTTCTGGCTTTGTGAGGCTCTGAGTCCTGCCTGCGCTGCACGACTGCTGTGATCACACGGGAGGTGAGAGGATGACGGGAGGTGAGAGGATGACAGGCCGCAGGACCCATGCTTGGCCTTTCTGTCCTCAGCACCGCCAAGGAGATGAGCTCCTGGATCGCGCGCATTAACCTGGCCGCTGCGGTGCACTCTGCACCGCCCTTCCCCGCAGCCGTGGGCTCCCAGCGCCGGTTTGTGAGGCCCATTCTGCCCGTGGCTCCGGCCCAGAGCTCCCTGGTACGTCCACAAGAGGGATTAGGACAGTGAGGGAAGGGGGTATAGGGACAGGAGGACTAGATCAGAGATGATGGGGGTGCGGGGCTACGCACTAGTCCTGGGAAGTGGGAGGGGCTGCTGAACACCTGGAGCCAGGGAGGGGATGAAGCTGCAGGTCTAGTTCTGGGAACGGAATGGGCGGGGTGAGCTGTGCACCAGGAAGAAGGGGGGAATTCAGGATTGCTTCCCCCGCTGGCTCCTACTACAAGGAGGAGCAGCATCGATCCCACGAGAACTGCCTGGACGCCGCCTCGGACGATCTGCTAGATTTGCAAAGGAAATTACCTGAGCGGCGGGGTCGCAGCCGGGAGCTGGAGGAATACCGCCTGCGGAAGGAGTACCTGGAGCACGAGGTGAGACTTCGGCTCACGCCCTCCCCCTCGTGGTCGCATCCGGAACTGCAGCCTCCGCTCCCCTGTCTCTCAGGGCCCGCGAAGTGCTGCTGGGCAATGTCTGCCTATAGGTGCTTGAAGGGGGTGTGTGTCCTCGTGTTCTGGGACCACAAACCAGCCGCTTGTCTGAAACACTGTTAGGGAACATTATTTGTATAACTTTTTCTCCTAAGAGTGTATTTGACCTTTCCTAAGTTGAAGGAAAAATGTGCATTGGATTAATTATTTCTCTTAATAGCTACCTGATTGTAGGCTGTATTTGTGGAGCTTGCATTACTTGCATAGATTATCTTCTTAAATTACTAAAAAGTCTGCCATAGGGACTGTGGTCCTCATTTTATAGTTGCCGGAACTGAGGCATGGAAAGATCAAATACCCTGTCAAAACCCAGTAAATTTATATGCAACTCTAGTCATTTATGGTATTGACTAAGGAATGACCCTTATTAGTTCTATGACCAATTCTAAATGTTTTAGCCCCCAACCTCCTACCCAATTTCTGCTTTGGCCTGACGTCGGTGCACATTCTCGGACCTCAGAAGCAAGGACAGGCAAGGGGCCCTGTGACAACGGAGGGGTCAGAGGTGATCCAAAGGCAGAATCCAGAGAAGCTAGCATCAGTGTCTCCTGCTGGCTGTACCACCGGGCCCCTCTGCTGCCTTCTCCCAGCCTGGCCATCCCTCTGGCTTGTTGCATCCATGGCTGTGAGCACATCACCTCCCAGAGCCCCCAGGGGTAGTTCTCTGACAGGACCTAGGTCTGCCTGCAGAATTCCAGCCCCTCCTCACCACTGACCAGCAGGACCTTTAGCAGCCAAGGCCTCCTTTTCTTCTTTATAAGCAGGGTCCATGGTGTGTGCCCCACCCAACCTCCCAGGCTGGGATGATGACCTCATGGAATGGAGGGTGGGAGAGCACTGAGCAAACTGGGAGCCATATCTGGAGGTTCCAGTTACAGAGGCCTTAGGAGACTTGAGCAGATGAGAGCCATTGGCATCACGCTCTACAAATGCCAATGTTAAAATGCTGTTCAGACTCAACAAGGGTTCAGTGCAGATGTGGGCTGTTCACGTGCAGTGCTGTGCAGATCTCAGGCCTGCCTGGTGGGTCACAGATCTTTCAGCGTCTGGGAGATGTCAGTTACAGCACCACACGGTATTGGCTGTTAGTAAAGGCTTGGCTCATCGGTGTTACTATAATACTATGCAGATAACACTGGTTGCAGGTACAACGCAGATGCTAGCTGTCAATCCAGTCCTCTTTCTGCAGAAGTTTGTGTTACCATAGCATTATACACATGTGAACTGTCTGCCCCTCATGGCTCCAGCCTCTGACCCACCTGGAGCCAGGTGGTGCTAAGGTGGGGGTACCTGTGTGTTGCAGAAAACCCGCTATGAGATGTACATGCAGCTGCTGGTGACCCGTCTGCACTGCCCCTCAGATGACCTGGACCTGTGGGAGGAGCAGTTGGGGAAAGAGGCTGGAGATGCCCAGGAGCCCAAGCCCAGCCTGAAGAAGTCCCACTCAAGCCCCTCTCTGCACCAGGATGAGGCCCCCACCACGGCCAAGGTGAAGCGCAACATCTCAGAGCGAAGAACCTACCGGAAGATTATCCCCAAGCGGAACCGCCATCAGCTGTGAAGCAGCGTCACCTCGCAGACTTTGGCCCCTGCTCTGAGGTGGACCTGGGGTGGAACCCTCTGGGGAGCCCCTGTCAGTGGCCCCATGGCCAGGGTGAGGCCCCTCCTTCCCTGCTGGAGGGCAGCCCATCTGCCTCTCTGAGCTTTGCCAGGACTGCTCCACCTGCCCCACTGTGGAGCTGTCCCAGTCTCTGGCCCTCCTGAAGGAGGAGGGAAGCCAAAGATTTGGCTCCACCCTTAGAGTTTGTCCCACATCACTCTCCACTCCTCCAAAATCCGGAGTGGCTGTTTCCTGAGCCTGGGAGCATCTCAGCACTTGTTTGAGAAGCAGAGAATGATGGGCCCTGAGCTTCCTAGAAAGTCCAGGGCAGCGGAGGCCTCTGGGCAGTTATGTCCTGGGGGTGGTCTTGCTCTGGGAATCAGGTGACCTACTGAAAGAGGCCCTGGAAGACCCCAGCCAGTCTCCTTGGGCCCTGAGGCAGCAGGGTCACTCCGGCCCTGCCCTGGGAGGGGACAGCGTTTAAGCAGGCAGGCAGGCCTCAGGGCCCAAGGTGGCTGACTGACCCTGGGGCTGTGCCTTTGTCTCCCATTCCCTACAGTGGGCCCCGCACCAGAGCAACTGAGAGCGTCCCACCTCCCATGTCCAATTGCCAGTCACAGAACTGGGCCGATGGCCCAAAAGTGGTGGGGGCTCTAGGGGAATCCTGGACGAGGGGCCATTGTGTCCCCAAGGCCAGGAAAGAGGTTCAGCTCCCTGGGGAGGCTGAGCATAAGAGGTGGTGACCCACCCCCGGGGGCTGTCTTGGAAGGAGATGCAGCTGAGGAGAGTGTGAGGACCAGACCCCCTCCCACACACCTCATCCCTTAAAGCTTCTTTCCCCAGGGCCGCCAGGCCCCCCCCCGCACCCCTGCCCTCCCTGAGAAGTCCCCTCGAGCTGCCCTCTGGCTGCTCCCAGCTGAGCCTGTTCTCAGGGGCAGGGGACAGGTGGGGGTTCCGGACACTCAGGGACCTGAGGCCGTGCCTGTGGGAAGGAGGCTGGGCTGGAGGAACAGCCACCATTGTCTCTGTTCAGCCAAGTGTGCCCGCAGGCTGCCGCCAAGAGCGGCCTCCCTGATGCCTGCCTGCCGCCCGCTGGCTGGCGCGCTGCCTCTCCAGCCTCCCTGCTGGGCCTCCTCCTCCCCTCCATGTCCATGCTTGTGACCAGCCCTGGGGCCTGCAACTCCCCCAAGTGGGGCTGGCCCTTGGGGGTCAGAGGCGTCTGACCAGGGCCTGGGGCTGAGCCATACACCCAATGGGTGTGCAATAAATACAGGTCAGTGAAGAAAGTTGTGCACAAGTGTGTGAGGGCAGGAGGGCTGGGCATCTGGGGCCACCTGGAGTTTGCCAGGCAGGACCCCCTCTACCCTGCGGACACGTGAATGTCAGCGAGTGTGTATGTGTGTGCGCACATGCCTGCCTGTGCCTGTGCACAGAGCGTGTGTGTTTGTGTGCAGCAGTCGCACATCTGCTGTCACACTGGAGGGGACCTCACCTGCTCACTTGTTCACTCCTTTCCCAAGTAATACTGACCAATCCAGGGGCCAGTGCTAAGGAACTCAAAAATGACTGAACCTGTCCCCGACTTCCCCGGAAGCCACAGTTCTGCCCTCTGGTTCCCAGCTGGTGGCACAGAAGCAATCATCTTACTGTGACAGTGAGCTGCAGACACCTTCCTGCCTGTGCTCTGGGTTCTGGTTCAGTAAGGTTCGTTCCGAGGTGTGGACGTGCACTCCCACGGCCCCTGGGTCACTCTGATGTGCGGGGCAGGTAACTGCACAGCAGAGCTCAATTGTTTCCTGTTACTGAGGCAGAGGCTGGGTGTCCGGTGGACATGACTTGAGCCAGGACTGACACTTAAGCTAGATGGCCTCGGATGAGTTATCTGACCTCACCGAGCATGTATCCTTATTTCTAAAACCAGCATAAAAGGCAGAGGTTCGTCTGCATGTGTGCACGTGTGTAACTTCATGCTTCTTTGCTCATACAGAACTGTCACTTTCCTTTTACCTGGGCACGTGAGGCCTGCAGAGCCAGCGGATGGTGCCCAGGCCCTGGGCCAGTGCTGCCAGCAGAGTGGAGACTGGGGTGTTGGGCTGCAGTTAGAGCAGGTGGCCACTGGGAGGCAGGCTTGCATCTTCCTGGCTCTTGGGCCCAAGTGTCTGCTGCGGCACCTGGCTCACTGACAGACAGCAGGAAGTCAGTCTGTCTTGCCATAGCCAGAACAAGGAGTGGCCCAGGCCAGGCCTCCCGCATCCCGAAGACACCTCTGCGCTGCAAAGGGCAAGGACTTCAACATCATCCTGCAGATGAGAGGGGAAAAACCTCTGGGGCGTTAGGGGGACAGCCTAGAGCGCCCCACAGAACTGTCCCAGGTGACCTACAGAAGTGGAAACAACGTCAGTCCTGGGTGTGGGGCAGATCAGGCCCACAGGCCTATGTCTGACCTTGCCTCCCCACTCTCCCACGGCTGCGGGTTGGTCCATCTCTGCAGGACGGGGGGGGGGGGGGGACAGTTTCTTAGAGGGGAGTTCGGCCTCCGTAGCCTGGTGGCAGGGTCTTCAGTTCCTCCTTCCCACCCGGGGGAGCGCAGGCTCCAGATCCCTGAGCTGCCGTGACCTGGGTGGGAACCCTGACATAAACTCTTCCCTCTCTGCATCTCTGCTCTATCCGGCTTCCTGTTGATGATCTCCTTAGTCTGCTGTTTGCCGGGCACCAGGGAAGAACAAAATGTCACTAAGGCCTCAGCCTGGGTCCTTTCTCTGGGGGCCCAGACTCGGATGGAGACAAGGGGGTGTGTTGAGTTGGAAGGAGCTGGGCTGGGGGCCTGCGGAGGCAGGTTGAGGGACGTGCGGGGTAAGGGGCCTGAGGCCAGATCCTAAGGGCCCTCACCTGAATCCCGGGAGTGCAGCTCTCCGCCGGTAGAGGGCGCGCTCAGCGCTGGGAGGAGCCTTGCTTTGAGAAGGCAAGATGACCTGAGTGCGTCAGGCCGGCTGGCAGAGTCCGAAAACGGCTGGAGATCCCCTGTGCTATCAGTGCAACTCTTCCGAAAGTCCAAAGTCAGAGAGAAAAGGGGGAGAGGAAAACGGCAGCCTGGAGCCTTGCGACAACACGCCGGCCCACGCCTGCCCCTCCTCCCCAACCCTGTGTGCTCCCACGTACTTCCAGGCTTCCTGAAGGCCCTGCTCTCCCCGCCGCGCCTCTGCCAACAGCTCTGCCTCCAGGTCCGGGTGCCGGTGTCCCTCACCATTCACCGTGGCTCACACCTTTACTGTCCCTTCCTCTTCCCCTCTCTGGAGGCAGGAGTGCTCTCCGACCCCTCGGACTGACCCCTGCCCTCAGCCCTCCTCGCAGCGCCCACCCACTTCTCTGCCCACCCTGAGCCTGTCTCCCTCGGGGGGTCCTGGCTAGGTCCTCGGGCCTAATCTTTACCCCTTCATTACCTTGCCTTGCAAACACCTTAAGTATCACCATCATGAAGAAAAAGATGGTCTTTCTAGCTGTTTCTCTCCCTCATCTGGCTCCTGGCTCCCATTCACACCTTGCAAATTGGCTTCCATGCCACCCCTCCCTAAAATGCCACCTCTCTGGTGGCCAAGAGGGGCCAGCTGATGACCCTCCATCGTTAAATCCAGTGTCTCCTCAACATTCATCCTCCTCCCCTCTCGGCGACCTTTGGCCTGTCGGCCACGTGGCCTGTCTGACCTAGAGACCCTGGAGTCAACTGCCCGGGAGCAAGTCCAGCTGTCCCTCGTGTCAGCCCAGGGTCCAGTGCCTTAGCCGCCTCTGCTCCCATTTACTTCCCTATAAAAGGAGATAATAACACTGCTTACCTCACACAGCCCTTGGAGTATTAAATGAAGTTATGCAACAAACACCTGAGAGCAATGCCTGGACAGGAGGGTTAGCCATTAGTTCACAGCCTTGTAGGCCTCACCTCACCTCTGGGCTTGGGCTCAGGCTGTGCTCTCGCACCTGTGAGTCCTGATGGAGGCTAGGCCTCTCACACGACTCTGCCTGCCCGGGTGCTGCAAGTCACAAAACTCGGTTGGGCTCCAGCAGGAGAGGACAGTGGTTGGCTCCAATAATTAGACGGTCTGTGTCCAGGCCAGGTGAGGCCTACTCCAGGGCTCCTTGGGCTCCATCTCCCAGGCTTAGGAGGCAGGAATGGTCCCCTGGTGGTACTGAGATGGCCCAGACCCAGAAACCCCTCTTCTGGGTGCAAGTCCAGCCCACAGAGGATATCTGCTCTTTGGAGGAATACCTGTAAAGTCAAGTCCGGGAGTAGAGTTTCTTCGAACAGCCTATCCTGGGCCATGGCCCATTTCTGAGCCAATCACTAGGCTAAGGAACTTCAGATAACCAGAACCCATTTTCTGAGATGGGAGTGGGGTGGGATGGAGGCAAACCCCCCAAAAGATAGGGGCTAGGACTTGCTGTAGAGAAACTCCAGGTCCTCCCAGGAGCGGGAAGAGGAGAAGCCCACTGACATCCCGATGCCAGCTCCTGCAGGAGCCTTGCTCCAGCCCTCCTCCCCAGCCATTCTCCATCACACCAAGTCTGCGGCTCTCTACCTGCCTCCCTGCCCCTCCCAACCTTTCCCCTCTCTGCTCCCAGGAGAACACAGCTTCTTGAGGTTGGGAACTCAGCAGTCTGGCATCTGCTGCATCCCCCAAGCCCTCCCCTCAAGGGCGTGCCACCTCGGGTGGAAGACCCTGGGCTCCACCCTGGGCCTCAGGCTCCATCCTCCCTGGCCTTAGCCCTTTGCCTGCTCCTGGCTCTTCTATTGTCCTCGCATGTTCTTCCTCACTCCTCCTGAACTCAGCCTTTCCACAGGGGCTGCTGTCCTTAGGGCCCCAGGGAACTTCTGGGGACTGTCCTTGTCTAAGCCTTCTGCCCCATCTCTGCTCTGAACTTCAGACCTGCAATTCTGACTGCCTGCAGGATGTGGAAGTGGTCAGTTTCTGCACAGAAGTTACTTATTATACCTGAGTCTGAACTAAGTGTCATCTCCTCCCGATTCCCTGTTTGTAGTCATGGTTCTGTGACCACCGTTTGCCCACTGCTTTGAAGGACGGGCCTCCAGGATGGTAGGAGGCTGCAGCCAGAGAGGCCTCCACCTCACCTCTGGTGTCGGGTAGCAGCTTCTGTTCCCCGATTGCTTTGTCACTATCTGGTGTGACAGGGACGGGGTTGGAAGGAACATGCACAAAGAAGCAATAACTCCTTTGTCCAGCAAACGAATCAGGTAAGTGACCAAGCAGCCCTTCGACCTGGCCACAGAGAGTCTCCGGCCCGGGTACAGCACCCCCGAGGCCACTCAGGCCCACCAGACCCCTCCCTGCGTGTGTCCTGTGGTCCTGGTGCTTCGTTTCTCAGTAGTATTCTGCTGGTTTCCTGCATGCACTTCCTGTGAGCTGTCTCAGGCCCTCTCTGGAGCAAGTGGAGAATACATTAATATTTAAAATAAGATAAACAAAACGTCAGTGTGTGTGCGTCTTAGGCTGGAAATTCCTTAAGGGCAAGGACCATGTCTGTTTATATAGCACCTGGCACAGTGTCAAACTGGGGCTTAACAAATGAATTTTGATGAAGATGAGAAAGAAGCTGCCTGCACCAAGACACACGGGTCTAGACATCTCTGCCCAGCTAAGCCTCCTTCAAACCCCCTTAGCAAGGGGGACCCTTGGTCCTGCCAACCCAAATCCTCACCCTGTTCCTGATCACCGGGCTTCTTTCTGCCACCCCGCCCTGTCCACAGCCCCCATAACCACCCTCATCCTCGCCCACACCCTGCTCTCAGAGATGCTCCCCTTCCTCACTCAGATGCAGCCACATCCACAGCCACCCTCTCTCAGGGCTTCACCCCACCCACCCTCCTCCGCTGCCTGGCCCAACAGGCGCATCCAGGGCCTGGCGCTCTCTCGTGGTACTAGGAGATGCCAGCAGCTGAGCCACTGGAGGTGCAGTCCCCAAGTGTGCCTTGGCCCTGTGGGGGCCTCCAGCCAGGCGGGGACCTGGCAGAGGGAGGGCGAGGATAAGCAGCTTCAAAACTCCAGATGCAGCAGTTAAAAAGAGGACAGAGGCAATGATCCTTCAAATTGCCACATCTGTATAATCTGCCTTTTATTTTCTGCTTCATGAAGTTTTATTTCCTATTATTTATTCACCTCCCCACCCTCCCCTCCCCCACCTCAGCCCCTCCTTAGCGGGAAACATGCCCAGATGGGTCCTGAGCCTCAGCCCGGTCCTGGCCACCCCCAGCTCCCACCCTGGGCTGGTTGCCGCAGGAGGGCCACACGCTGCCCCCACGGTATCGCAGCCCCCAGGCCCTCCCTCCAGACTCCAAGTAGAGTTGGAGGAAATGCTGCAGATGGAGGAAGGGACCAAGGAGGTGAGGCCTGTCCCTTAGGCCTGTACCACTGTCACCACCCCTGAGCCGGAGCTTATGAGGTGGAAGAGCCAAGACCTAGAACGCACAGCCAGTTGAGTTTCCACCTCCATGCACTGGTCTCCCTCCTGTGCCTCTTTCCCACCGTCTACCCAGGACCCTTGTCCTCTTCCCTTTAGTATCTTGGACCTGTGGTCACATGGCTGAGCTGGTCCCAGCCTCACGAGGAGGGTATTGTGGTGAGAAGAAGGGGACCAGATCATGTAGGGAGGGGCAGCTTATGCCTGGTTCTAAGGCCCTGGGAAGCTCCCCACTTTCCCTGCGCTCCGTCTGAGAAAGGCCCGAGCCCTCCAGTGCAGCCCCCATCTGGGTGCCCAGGCTGGGGCCAGGCTGAGCCGGTGGCCGCAGTGGGGACAGTGGGTATTGTGGAAAGGACATGTACTTCTTGCCCACCGCCCTTCCCGAGACACCGAAACACAGGGGGAGGCCCTTTCCCGGGAAGACTTTAGGCCAAAGGTTTAGAGTCTGTAGTTGGTTCCTGGTGGCTGCTCCTTGGAGAAGCGGAGAATGGCAGAGGAAGGCCCGGGCCGGAGGGGCCTTGCAAATACCACCTGACTCCCGACAGCACTTCCTGTCACGCCTCTCATGCCTGTCATCACTGTCCCACCTTGCTCTGTAAGTAACTTTCACGAAAGTCCCTTTTCTAAGTTCCAAGGGTTTTTTGTTTTGTCTTTAGTTTACCGTTTTTGTAGGGGATATACTAAACCAACTGGATTCATCTTGCTTTCTTCTGGCTGCCTACCACAGGATCTGGCACATAGTAGGTGGCTTATTAGAGACTTTCAAATGAATGAGTGTGACTTTTAGAGCCCGGCGTATAGTAACTGGCCAGCGGGCTCTGTGGTGTGCCCCAGGTGGAAAGGCTTTCGATGCCCGTCTAAGTCAGCCAGCTGAAGCAGCACCCCAGGGCCCTCACCCCCGCCCTAAACAGAGACAGGATTCCAAGTGTGAGAACATGGGTTTTGCCTATGGTTTAGCGGAAAATTACCTGGGGAATTTGGGGGAAGGAGGGCCTCATACCAGAACCAGTCGGACGAGGCTGCACTGCCTCGCACTGACCCAGGTGACTGGAGGCGCGCAGGGCTGGGCTGCACGTCATCCTGGCCAGAGCCTCGCCTTTCACAGCTGAGGAGACTCAGGGCCCCAGGAGGCTCCCGTGGGGAAGGTGCCAGGTCCGGGCCCAGGCTCTTTAGCAGGGGGATGGGGAACGAAGGTGAGGACCTTAGACAGGGGCTGGGTACAATGATTGTAACTAACAGGCTCCGAGGACCCCCACCGCTCGGTCCCTGAAATGGCTGGTGGAGCAACCCCTCCCCCACCCGTTCGGCCAGGAGTTGCCCCTTCTTTCTACCCGGGTCTCTTTCCCTTTGGTGGGAGCTGAGTTTCCATTCAGACTGAGCTCCTCCCTTGCAGACACTTTCTGTTCTGCTGCGGTGAGGTTCCTCGGGGGGGGTGGGGAGGACCAGGTGGGGAGGTGGGGCCTCTCATCTCTCCAGCACGTAGTTGTGGGGCGATCCGTGTGGGCCACAGCTAGGCCTCCCCCTGGTGCCCAGGAGGCAGGGGCAGGTGTGAAAAGGCAGCTGGAGGGTGGTGGAAAGACGTGGCGGTGGGAAGGTGAGTTCCCAGTCCAGGCTCCCAGCAAGTTCTTTGTTGTCAGTTGAGCTTGCTACCTATGGCACCACCCCCAAAAAGCAAACAAACATTTATTTGCAAATACACACATCTCCCCTCCAAGCTGGCTCCTGGGTTAAGGGTGGCTTGTGTCTGACTGGTGTGTGGGCCTGGGCTCTCTGACTCGGGAAGTAGCTTGGCCGGGGAGGAACTGGGGGCAGTGGGGGTCTTGGGCATGGAGGGGGCATGGTGTTGGCTCCATGCTGCTGCCGGTTTGATTTATCCCTAATGAGTTCTCAGCACATGGCTGCTCCCAGCGCACTCCAGGGGCCAGCGCGGCTTCCCGCGGCCCAGCCCACAGACTCCACAGCAGCCGCTGCTCACTCAGAAAAGAGCCAATTTCCACGCTGCACAGTCCGCTTCACTCACGGGAAATCACATTTCCCTGGGAGAGCCGCAGGCAGCGCCTCACTCCCCAGCCTGGCCGGCTGCCATGGGCACAGATGGAGGAGCTGGGCCACCTCCCTCCCTGACCCAGCTCCCCACTTCCCACCCCCAGGAGACCTGAGCCCCTACCCCAAATCTCCAGGAAGCCTCTCCTCAGCCGGGACCTGGCCTCTGCGGCCAGTAAAGGGGAGGAGAAAGGCTGCTGTGGGCAGAGGATGCTGACCAGAGACACTGGCCTTGCCTGCCTTTTCCAGCTTCTTCTTCCAAGGAGCAGGGCACCAGTTCTGTCCGAGGGGCTCAGAGCCTGGAGGGACCTGATGGCAGTATGCGCATGTGTGAGGGAAGAGGAGGGGGCGGGTCTCCGCCATCAGGAGGTCATGGTCCCCAGTGCAGTGTAGCCAGCCCCCCAAGGACCCAGAGGAAGAGAAGGCAATGAGAAGAACGAAAGGCCAGGGAGAAGGGGATGGAGAGGGCATCTCCTGATCCTGTGTGGGGCCTCTGAGCCCTGCCCACACCCTGGAGATGCAAAGGTCTCTTAAACGGTGGCGGGAAAGAAATGATTGCTTTGGGCATGGCAGAAGAGGGGCCGGAATGGGAAGCTATAAGAGGAAAAAGGAAAGAGAAGGAGACGAGGGAGGGGCAGTCAGTCACCTTTGTGGGATGGGAGACCTTTGCTTTCACCAGAATGACAGCTATGACCAGCTTAGCTGGTCACTCCTTTGGAAGGTGACAGCCTGGGACACAGGCATGTCAGGAGCTCCTTAGGGTGAAGGACGTGCCTTGCAGTGCTGAGGGCTGAGAGCAGAGGCTTAGGGCCAGGGATGGAGGGGAATGGGGTCAGCCTGGCTCTCCTCCTCCACCCGAAGCCTGGTCTCTGGGCCTTCCACCCAGGACTGCTCTGCCTGCTAGGAGCCAGCAACTCTGCCCAGCCCCCCACCCCAGCCCTGCTCCCCAAAGCAAAAGGGCTGAGGCCTTTGCAGAAGCCAGGCCCTACCCAGACGTGGCCTTAGAGGCCTTACATGACGGTGCAGACTCAGCTATGGTCCCAACTCCTCCCAATGGCCTTGAAAAGGCCATCTCTTGTTCTCAGTTTCCCCAAGTACACAATGGGGCTAGTGTCCTGAATCAGAGAGGAAAATGAATGGATGTGGACAAGTTTTACAAGCTGAAATACACTAAGGGTTGTCATCACTTCGGAGGGTGAGGGAAGACAGAACGAGAGCAGTTAAGTGGGAGGGGGCAGTGAAAGAGGGCTAGGAGGGAGCCCCCAACCACTGGGGGTCAGCCCCCTCCTCCTGCACCCACTGCAGGGCAAGGACACCAGGTCAGTGTAGGGAAGACTCGGGTGGATGCGTGTGAAAGGCACGTGTGAGAGGGAGAAGTAGGAGAGGGGAGCCCTCTGCAGGCGCCCCTCCCCGCCTGTGGGCTGCTGAACTATCGCCCCTGCCTGAGGTTATGTAGCCACTGAGGGTGTCCCTAGCAGGAGGGGGCAGGACATTCATGTTCTTTAGTAACGACATACAGCAGGAATATTGGAGAAGCTAAGGGAGGGCTGGACTCAGCCCAGGGGCTGGCCGGCCTTGGAGGCAGGGCTCCCAGCGGCCGTGTCCCCACCTGCAGCACAGAGGGTCTCGGCAGCTCCAGGCCACCTTAGAAAGATGGGCTCTGCCCCACCTGGTGGGCCCAGGCAGGGTTTGAGCTGCTCTGTCTCCCCCTGGTGGGCCGTTGCCTGGCCCAGATGACGTCTCTGCCCGACCTCCAGGGCAACCGGCCCCCTTTCCACAAAACTGCCTTGAGGCTTCCCACCCTTCCACACGGCCCCGAAAAAGTGGCTTCCAGCTGAGGCTCTGCAGCCTCCTCTGTCTCCCCGGCTTCTCCTCACACCCTTCTCTGCTGTGCCCACATGGGCCACCTCAGCTTGTCCCATCAGCACCTCGAATCATCTTTCTCCCCCAACACACAGAGGATGGCTTTTCCTGAGTCCTGAAAGGGACCCACAGTTTGACTGTGGACACTGCGCTCGGCCCCACCACACTCACCAGCACTGTCTGAGCAGTGTCTGGGTGCATGGGCCACCTCAGGGAAACAGTCACCCGCAGCACAAGCAGACCCAAGTCCCTTTGTCACCCAAGGGTGGGATAGGTCCGGTCAGGCGCACCCAGTGTGCCGACACTCGGCAGGCTCCCTGGGGGCCGTGCGTCTCCAAGTGATTTTGGACGGGGGCCCAGAACCAGCTGGGGGCTGTCTTGGGAGCTCAGGAACGCGGAGTTCAGGATACTGGCTGTTGGGGGTGAGGGGTCCTCTTCCATAGGACACAACCGCAGTGGCTGGTACCCAGACATCGAATGCGCCTGGTTTGTCCCAGAGTTGCCCACGGACAGGGTCCATGTGGGCAGCAGGGAGCCCCCGGGGCCAAGCTCCATGTTGGTGGCGAGACTGCTGTAGCCACCACGGTATGTGCCCCCGTGTTCTCCAACATTTCTTAGAAAGGAGGTGTCCCTGCAGGCTCCCTCCCTGCTTCTTGGCATTGCCACCCCACGCCTCTCCATGGCCCCCCTGCATCTAGGGCCCTCTGGCAGCCATATAGGCCTGAACCTATGGCCTCTTCCCTTGGATTTTTTTCTGAGCGTCAGCTTTTCCACATGTAACACGGGGCTGATCCCACCTTCCCTGATTCGAGGCCTCCACCCTGTGCCTGGCACAGTGGCCCAGTAAATGTCTTCCCACTTCCCTCCTTCATTCACACCATGGGGCCACAGAGCTGCTTCTGTGAACAGCCACTCTCGGCGTGGTCACCAGCCTCCCCACCGGCTGTCTGGTTACTATGAACAACAGCAACCACATATGAGGCGTCTGTGACCGGCCCAGGACTGTGCCGTGTGCTTCCTTTACTCCCTCCTCTACCCAGAGCTGGAGAAGTCAAAGCGTGGGGTAGAGGGTGTGCCCGTAAACACGTTAAGGCGGAGGAAGACTGCTAAGTCAGGCTCCTGGGCGTTAGACGGCCCTTTGCGCCCCCAGCCCCAAAGTGTGCTCACTGTTCACTGGGCCTGAGGTTCTCTGGATGGAGCCTAGTCCCGCTGCCTCCTCCCCAGTCAACCCTGGAGCCTGAAGCAGAGTAATGCTTTATTGAGTCGAGTGGCAACGGTGGTGGTTGTTAAAAAAGAAAGAAGCATTAGGGAGAGAAGCCCAACATGGCAGGGAGACAATTCACTGAAAGGCCACAGTCTGGGTGGACATAAGGAAGCTGGACCACACAGAGCTGCATTTATAGTATTTACAGTCAGGCCTTGGGGCAGGAGCTGCGGGTGCAGAGGGAACCTGCATCGCCGGCTTGGGAGGCAGCAGGCCTCCTCCAGTGGGGCGGGGCCCTTCGGAAAGTCTGTGTCCAGCTATAAGAGGCTGCTCTCTGGGATGAGCTGCAGGAGGAGAAGTCGGGTGCGCTGGTGTATCGCAGCAGTGGGCAGAGGGAAGGCCCCCTGGGCCTCCAGGTGGAGCTTCTGGGTGACTGGACCCAGCCCTCAGCCCGTGGCCGAGAGGGAGTCGCAGGAGGAGCAGAGCAGGCTGGGTTGGGGGGTGGGCTGCAGGAGCCTCAGCTCTGAGGTGGCTCACAGGGAGTGACCCTGAGGGTGACTGTGGGGACAGCCTTTGCACCAGCTGTGACTTGTGGGCTGGACAGAAGTGCTAACAACCCAGGAACACTAGAGTGTGTTGATGGCAGAGCCACAGAGGTGCCCTGGGCCGCCGAGCCCACTGTGGCCCTGTCCGCCCTCCCTCTTGGGTGCCCCTCCTCTTCCTTCCCACATTTCTCCAGTTCTGTGTCTTTCAGGACAAGAGGTCTCTCCCTGGGACTCCTGCACTCGCTGAGGAATCTTGGAGGACAGTCTGGTATTCTCCAAAGTCGTCCTGTCTTTCATGGTTCATTAAGTCAACCACACAGGGAGTGTGACCCCTGAGGCTGGACTTGTGGTTATTTTCACGTAATAAATAAAGATTCCTTTCTGTGACGCTCTGGGTCCTGTCCCAGACCTGGTCCTCCTGCTGCTCCGTCGCTCCCGCTGTCCCCCTGGCGACTACAGGTGGTCAAAGGCCGTGGCGGTGGTGGGCGGTGCGCTTGGCCTTGATGTGGAACTGTAATAATACGGGGAGCCTGGGCGTGCCAAAAAAATAACAAAAACACCGCTGGTCAGGAGGGGAAATTGTACCGCAGCCTCCTCGGCACCTGCTAACCTTTAAGACAGCACAGGTTAATCATTGATCCCCCAGCCTATCTGATCATCAAAGATTAACTCCTCTCAGCCGGTTTCCTCCTTCTCTGACCTCAGCTTGGAGTTTCTGGCCAGAATCAGGAGGTGGCTTCTTGTCCCTCCCCCTCTGATTCCCGTGACCTTCAACGCCCTTGTTTCAGAGAGAGGGCAACAGAGAGCAGGCCCACGTGGGAGCCTGAGAACATGCACTCGGGGAGACCACAGGGGTTTCCTGGGCTTTGCCCAAACTGCGAGGTCACAGAAACTTCCTCCTCCAAACCAGAGGGATTTGAATTCTGACTGGTCAGTGGGGGGCCGTGCATTGACAGCTTCCTTGCGGGACGCTCTGCAGGGAGGTGAGCGACACCTTCCCACCCCTGCACACATCTCAGTGTCTTTAGTCTTTCTGGCTAAACGGAACAGAAGGTGGCCGGAGGCGAAGTCACCCGGTGAACAGAGAAAGCCCCGTCGGCCACCCTCCCGGCCATTTCTGGAATGCCAGCAGAGGGGTGTCTTGAAGAACAGACGGTCCTGCCAGGCTTTCCATGATGCCACCGGGCCGGCCATACATGTGCCACTGCCTCTCTCTGGCCCATATGGTTCAAACTCGTCACTCAGGGAGACTGAGTGGGATTCCTTAAGTTTTCCATTTATGGGGCTTGGTTTTCTGAAAAGCTTCTCTCCGCAGCCCCGGCCCCAAGGCAAGAGGGGGCCAGAGCAGGCCGCGGGTGACTCTCTGGGCCCGGGTTCTGAAGGCCGTCCACATCTCGAGCCAACTTTCAGGAGTGTGGTGGGACAGAGGACTTCTGGGCAGGGCTGTGCTGCTGCCACACGAGCACCTGTGAGTCAGATGGGTGACGTGGGCAGCAGGACAGCCCTCGGCACCATCCACAGGCTCCCAGGGGGCAGCAGGCCCTCCGCACGGCACCGGCCAGTGTCTGCTCTGGCCGGACTGGGCGCCCCTGGAGGTGGGGCATCTACTCTGAGACTCCTTCATCCACCCTGGTCCTTCCTAAGCCCTGGATTCTACTCCGAAGAAGGATCTCACAGACAGGGCCTTGGGCACCAGGAGAGAGAACGGTGCGGGGAAGCCTTCCTTCTGCCCGCCTGCTGCCCCAAACCACCCGGCCACAACCTGGCACGCTGCCTTCCTGCGGGAATTATGAGTAACACCTGTCTCCCCAGGCCCTGGTCTAACCTGGGCCTCCCGGATCTGAGACGACCCCGGCCCAGGTTTGCACCCCACCAGCCCTGCACCGCAGAGGGTCTGAGGCCCGGAGGGACTTACTCAGCAAGCCGGAGTTCGGGAAGCGCCAGGCCTCGCTGTAGGAGGAGTAGGGGGTGTGGCCGTAGGCATTGCCGGAGTACTCGCTTCCTGTTGGAGGCACAGCGGTGAGACATGAGGAGGAGCGCAGGTTGGGGGCACAGGGGGGGGGGTGGCCGGGGAGGAGAGGAGTGTGCAGGCTGGCACTGGGCGAGCCCTGGGGGCAGGTGGAGCCGGGGCGGGACCGCGGGAGCTCAGAAGGCCCTTCCCTGAGGGGGCCTCAGCCAGCATTGTTTTGAGCAGGTTCCTTTACACCAGATACCGGCCCCCTGCCCTAACAAGCTTGTCCCTGGCAAGAACCTCAGGAGGCAGATGTTCTTACTATGCCCATTTTCCAGGTGAAGAAGTAAGGCCTAGGGATTGGCATGTGCTCACAGAGCAGGAGGGTTTGGTGGAGTTTGGGAGCTGTGACTCCAGGGTCCAGGTTCGAACCACTTCCACTGCTGCCAAGACCTTCCACGCAGAAGGGGTCAGGGGGCCAAGGGGGTTCCACTGACAAGTCAGTCGGTGTGCAGAAAACGGCTCACCCCCCCTCCCCGGGCACGTTCGTCAGGGACGGGTGTCTGTGTGTGTGTGTTGGGGCGTGAGGTTGGAAATTAGGGAACAGAGGCAGGAGAGGCCCTGGCGGCACCGGCCTCTGGCAAAATCTGTCCTGGGAGCTGCTCTGAGGGTCTTCTCATCCCATCCCAACGCTGCCACTTTAAGCAAACTTGGTGCATGGATTTACACAAAGTAATCAGATCACTTCTTTCTGTGAGTGCATTCTTGGCTTCACAAAAGGATTATTTACCCAAGAAATTACTTAAGAATGCCCTGGAATAACCACGAAGTCAAGCCGACACACCCGCTGGTACTTCCACACACGCACGCCCCTGACGCCCTAGCACTCATCACGCTGCCCGCTCACAGGAGGAGGGAGATCACACCTCGGTGAGGGGCAGAGCAGAGGTGGACCTCGGGGCTCTGCACTCCACACTTCAGGCAATCCCTTCCTGCAGTTAGAATTCCCACGACAAAGCCGGGTTCCTGCCAACCCGGAGACCCCGTCAGCGTCCACACTGTCTTTCTGAAACTCATTGCTGTTGGGAGCTGAGTGCCTCTGTGGCTCCCGCTATCCTTCCCAGACTCCAAAAGGGGGGCTTGAAACTCCTGAGCCTCAGGGCAAATCCGTGCCCCCCGCCTCAGCCACTTCCTGGCTGTGTCACTTTGGGCAAGTGACATGACTTCTATGAGCCTTGCTTTCCCCATCTGTAAAATGGCATGTTGTGGTCCTTATCTCCTGGGGTTGTCGTGAGGATTGAGTTAGATAATGCACTATATGAAATGCTTAGTACCATGTCCGGTGTGTAAGGAACACTCAAGGAGTGCTAGCTTTTATTCTCTCCCCATTAATTAAGCACATGCTAAAATAAAGCTCCAAAGCCCTGGTTGGGGTCTGGCCTGGCTGCTGCCCTGCCAGAGAAGGGGGAGGCACTAGTGCCGGGGGGACGGAAGTGAGGAGGGGCAGGAGGGGGAAGCAGAGGGAGTCGGCTGGCGGACTGGCCTTGGGCAGTAACAGGGCAAGTTACTTAGTGGGGAGACTGGGTCCAACTCAAATCGGGCTCAAAAAATACATGCAAAGGGGGAGAGAGAGGGAGGGAGGGAGGAAGTAGGGAAGCAGGAAAAAAGCAAAGTAAAAGAGAAAGGAAGAAACTAAAAAATAATCTACTCCGACCATTCATTCCCCACATGAAGAAACTGCTACCCAGAGAGGGAGAGACTCTACGTAGCTCGTGCCACCTGTGCAGTGGGAGCTTGCACTAGGCCCGGCCCCGGCTCCTACTCCAGCTCTTTTCCGCACCACACCGTGCAACAAGCTGCCCCGTTTACTGCTGGTGTGGGCAGACCCCTCTGGTGTCACTGCACCCAGGGAGGAAGCCACGTCAGCACTGGCTGCACAGGGGCCCCGTGCCTCCACGCCCCCCACCCAGTGCCGACACTGCTGGCTCTACGGGACAGGAAGAGAGGTGGGAACGCAATGTGTCTGCCCTCTCCTTTTGTCACTTACTCATGCAGTCATTCGCTCACACACATAGTCAGTCACCTACTGACCTCACGTCTGCTAGCCTCTGTCTGGTTCAGTTACAAGGAAGCTGCAGTAGGAACGGGACTAGGGAGGCGACGCGGCGTCCTCCCACCATCAGACCTGTCCACGTCCCCGCGCCCACAGAAGGCCAGGTATCCTCTTTGCTCTGCTTCTCGCCCCACCCACCGTGGGAAGGCCGTGGCCACTACAATGGCAGCCTTCTCCCTTCTGACTCATTGGTTCTCCCTTTCTCATCCATCACTTCCTTTAGCCAGCAAACATGCTTTGTTACCATCTCTTTCAAAAATGCTCTTCCTATCCCACATCCCTCCTCGGGTCCCAGCCCTTCTCCCTGCTCCACTGTCCCTGCCTTCACCTCTTCAGTCCCCTCCAGTCAGGCCGGCCCCTCATCTCCCCCAGCCTCTACCCGGCCATTCCAGTGGTCACTCCGTGTCCACCACCCCTTAAACTCTCAGCCGACTGTGACTCACCCACCCATCCCTCTCTCGAGGCGTGCGTCCTGACCCACTGGCCTTTCCACCTTACTCTCTCATTTCCTTCTCTGCAAGAACTCTGAACATTGAAGAGCCCCAGGCCTTAATGTGTGAGCACTCTGTGAATTTCCACCCACATTCTCTTTCCCATGATCCTGTCAAATCTTTGGCATTAAACAACAGCTCTGAACAATGGCGGAAAGGCAGGCCCTCATCGGGATGGTTTGCTGACTTCAGACACATGTCGTGCCTACTGATTCACTAAACTGTGTGCCCAGGAGGTGTCTCAATCCTAATCCAGCCCAACAGAACTCTAGATTTCCATCCGCCGCACACTCTCTCCCTCGCTGGTCTGCCCCCGGGGTACTTGCCACCACCCTCCATGCAGTTTCCCAAGCTCAACACCTAGGGGTCATCTTTGTTTCCTCAGTGTTTGAACCCGTACAACCCATTCACCAGCAGGTATTGTTGGCTCTACCACCAGCATTTGTCCTCCTCGTTTCTGTTCTCCTCCTGCACTGCGGCCTCTCACCCAAGGCCACCGCAGGAACATCCGCAGCTGCCCCTCCCGTCACTGGTCCCTGTGCTATCAAAGGAGCCTGAGCGCTCTTCAGTTTGACCCAGCACGGCCAGCCTCTCGTCATAGTCCTGTCCCTGTGTACTCCCACCCTCTGTCTGTGTGCAACCGCACTAACTAGTTCCTGCCTTGGGGCCGTGGCCCTTGTCCTCCAGCGGGGGATGGTCCGCCCCAGCTGGTCCCTTGGCTGACCACTCTGAACACCTCAGAGAGGCCTCCTGGGTCGCCAGTCTAAAGTAGTACATCCTCTCCCTGTGGCTTTGTATCACATCATCGTCTTTTGTTCTCTGTACAGCATTTGCTGCTATCTAAAATTATCTTGCCTATTCATTCATCGACTTGTTTGCTGTGCTTTTTTCTCCAGGACTAGGCTGTAAGCTCCGTAAATGGAGAGGCTTGTCTTGTTCATTGCTATTTCCCCAACATCCTATGCGGCAGATCCTCACCTGGTATTAGTTAAGTGAAAAAGCAGTGGATGGCTGGATGGTTGAAAAAGTGGATGATGAAGGGATAGATAATAAAAAATGGGTAGATATGAAAGGAGGGATGTATCCAAGAATGAATGGGTAAATGAAATGATGGCTGGATGGGTAGAAGAATGGACAAAAGAATGAAACAACTGATGGATGGATGGATGAGAGGATGGATGGATGAAAGGATACAGAGATGGATGAATAGATGGAACAATGGATGGATGGAGGGCTGGATAGAAGGATGAAAGAATGAATGAGAAAATGCCTGTACATGTGAAAAAATGTATGTAAACATGCATGGAAGAAAAGATGGATAGATGGGCAGATGGATGGATCAAACCATCTCTGAAGCTGTGGGTTCAGCTCCAGAACTGGTGTGAGCATCATGAACTGTGTTAATGGGTCAGGGACAACAACAATTAGAAGGCACAACAAGACAAATCTGTGTCCTGTCCTGTTCCTGAGTCGCTGCCGTACAGCTGATGTGTCCTTATATCTGGCGTGGTGGGAGGCAGTGTTAAAATTCCTGCTTTTGAACAACTCAGTCACTCAGTATGGCTATCACCCTGACCACACCACTTTGCTTTTCTAAGCTTGTTTCCTTATCCTTATAAACCCAGGCTAATGCCAGCTTCCCAGGCTTACAGTAAGGATCAATGGGAAATAGTGATATCTATGCATGGCCAGGCACACAGAAGTGCGGAATAGGAGCTCTCTTCCTTCCTTCCACGACTGACTGAAGACTGTCATTAACATGCCTTGCTTGCAGCATTTGCTATGTACATAGCACATAGTAGGTGCTTAATGAAGGTTTATCGATTTTAATGGAAGGGATCCTCACAGTCATTGGGAGATGATGGCCACTGGTAGAAGATGGACAAATAATTTTTCTACAAAAAATTCCTTACAAACTTATTTGCATCATGAAGTTCCTAGGAACCAGGTGAAACAATGAAGTAGCACATTTTCTGAAAACCAGATTATCCTGTAACTTCTCGGGAGCTGATCCACCACACCAGGCGAGGCCCCTCCCTTTTGCAATTCACTTGCAGTGGATGCTGTGGTCGTGCTCTTTTTTTGTCCACAACACCCACGCAGATTGAGGTTTTTCTGGAAACAACCTGGAGGCCTTTGATGAGAGGCCCAAGCCTTGCAGCTACCTCACAGGTCAGACTCTGGGCCCCAGGAACCCTCTGCCCTGGGCCTGCCCCTGGGGATGATTCATAATTAAGAGAAAAGCCTTGGGCTTTATGTTTCCTCCTCCCCTCCAAGCAGGCGGCAGGGGAGGGTGGAGAGGTTGGAAGGGGGATGGGGGAGCTGACTGGAGCCTGGGATTTTGATTGAGAGGCCCCATTATCCACACTCTTAAAAAAATAACCGAATCTTTTCCTTTTTTATCTTGACCAATCTCATTTCACGCTCCAGAAGAGGAAGGAAGGGAGGGAGGGAGTCCGGGGCCAGGAGGGAGAGAGGAGTCAGTATTCTGTATTTTCAACGCTGCATTAAGCACATCGCCACGGTAACCAGGCAGCAACAAGTGCCAGCTCAGCAGGTTCCCAGGGAGCATGGAGCCTCCTTTCCTCCCTCATTCTCTCTCCCTTCCCTCTGCCCAGGAGAGCCTGGTCCCCTGCCTCACACAGGGCACCAGAGTGGGTGGCTGGCAAAGGCAACCCCTACCAGGGGACAGGGAGGTAGTCCTGTGTGAAGGAGCTTCCCCCAGGTGTCAGGCCAGGGCACCCGGCCCAGGGCTGGCATGGGGGTCACAGGGGCCCTGATTCAGCCCCTTCCAAAAGCTCCAGGTCCTCAGGCCCCTGGGCAGTGGAAATGGTTCGATCTTATCCTCCCATCCTTCCTTCCTATATGGTTCCTGAGAGAGACACTTGTCCAGAGAGACTCTCCTTGTTCTCCCCACATGTCCAGACCTTGACACCCTGGGTCACTGTTGGGTGGTGACCACGCCGGTGGACAAAGAAGCCTAAAGGACTGGCAGGCAGGACTCTAGGACAGCCCAGTGGCAGTGGAGAAAAATCCCCAGCTCTGCTCACACTCTGCAGTACTCTGGAGTATCTAGAGCGCAGGTCCCTCCCACGCAGGGCCGAGTGAATGTGGGGTGTGAAGGGGCCTGTATATCTACCACCACCACCATCATCATCATCACCTACAGCATTCGTATTTAAGTGTCACAGAAAGGTAAACTGAGGTTCACCAGTTAAATAACTGGGAGGCCGTGGGTTACCTGAAGGCTAGGCTTGTTTACCTGCCAGTGTTTTCAGCCCCAATAACCCTCCCTCAGGGACCCCTGAAAGGATGGAAGCAGCCGGGCTCCGATCGGGGCGCCAGTCTGCCTCGGCCGGCCGCGCCCTTTTCATCACTGCGGGTGATGGGGGAGTATCTGGGAAGAAGGAAGCCAAGCTGGGGAGATTTGGGAGCCAGGACCGCACTGGAGCCTGTCCCCAGACCTTTACAAAGAGATGCACTCGCCCTGACCAGTGCGGCTCAACTGGTTGGGTGTCGTCCCTCAAAGCAAAAGGTCACCAGTTCAATTCCTGGTCAGGGAACATGCCTGGGTTGCAGGTTCAGTCCCCAGTCAGGGCAACCAAGTGATGCTTCTCTCTCACATCAATGTTTCTCTCCCCCTCTCTCCCTCCCTCCCACTCTCTCTAAAAATAAATAAATAAAATACTGACAAAAAGGAGAGATACACCCTTCAGTGCCCTTCTGGAAGTCATGCGTGGGACACACCCTTCCTCCTGCTCCACCTCTGGCCAACACCGCCTCTTCCCAATGCTCCCCCCAAGGCCTGCGCAGCCCGTCCCCTTACCTGCCACCATGCCTGCGATGGCGGAAGAGGCATAGCTGCCCTGTCCGCTGGTGGGGATGTGGGGTGGGTATCCGGGCAGTGTGGGCCCCACCATCTCTCGCCCTAGAAAAACACAGCAAGGCGTCACCAGTGGGGCCAGAGGAAGCCCTGGATTTACTGTCTTTCTTCCTGGAGGGTGAGCGGGCCTCCCTCCTGCGACACTCCACGGTCCAAGCCTACTTCACCGCCCCTCTCCCTGCTGTGCAGCACACCAGCTCCACCACGAGGGGGCGCAGCTGTCGTAGTCACGCATTGTTCCCTGCTCTCCGGTGATTTATTTTTTCACGTGAATCTTATTCATCCATAAAATGTCATGGTATGGGGGGAGGTTGGGACTATGTCTTCTGGGTCCTCATTACCCCCACACAGCGTCAAGCACAGCAGTGGGCACAGCTGGCCTAAACGGGTGCATTACAGGTCACTGGACTCAGCTCACACCCTTCCAGCCCAGGCTCTGAGCAGGACCAAGAACCAGGCCCTACTTGGGGTGGCGTAGGTGTGGCCTGCTAGCCCGTTGCTGTCCCGTTTTGGACCCATGGCAGACATTGCTAATCAATCACTGTGCTTTTTTTCCCACTGAGCCAGGGGCGTTCCTCCCAGCCTGACGGGTGGATACCAGCCATCCGAATTATGAGGGGCCGACCAGCTGTCCTGACCTGGAAAGGGCCAACACGCATGTTTACATGTGCCCGCAACCCCCACATCTGTCCATTCCATTCCTGAAAAAAACATTTTCAGCAAACAAGACGTCCATCTCTCTGTTAATCTACATTTGTGGGTGACGTTCTTGCCCCAGTGACACTGAGACAGCTCTGTGAGGTCCCCATGCCCCTGCTTCCACCTGTCCTCCGTATCAGGAAGTCAAGCCTTCCCATTCAGGAGACCCCCCAGGAGCTGGTGAGTTTCTGCCCACCCTCGCCCTGTGCCAACAGCCACATGACCCTCCACCCACTGCCCCTTCTTAAAACCTGCAGGCCCAGAGCAGGCTCCCTCGTCAAGGGTTCTTAGCAAGGTGACGACACACGGTGGCCTGCCCAGGTTGTGACCACTGTCCCAGCGTATTGATTAATAATGCCCTTCTGGGTTTCTCCGACTTGGCACTACTGAAATAACGGGGTTGGATCAGCCTCTGTGTGGGGCCGTCCTCTGCATTGCAGGGTATTCAGGACCACCCCTGGCCTCTGCCCACTGGAGGCCAGTAGCAGTTCCCACCCAGTGTGACAACCAGATGTCTCCAAATATTGCCATGTGTCTCCTGGTTACAAAATTGTCCCTGGTCGAGAACCACTGTGTTACATTGTGATCCCTTCACCTAAGACCTTCCGCCTCTTCCACACTGGGGGCTGCTATTTCTCCTAGGGCTCATATGGGCACCTCCGAGCCCCTGTCAGCCAGCTTACCAAGCCCATTCCCTCTACAGCACTGCCTGTCCACGTCCCTCCCATCGGTCCCTGCAGGTCCTTCATACCCCAGCCTTTCAGGGGGTGCCTGGTAGTAACAGAAGAGAAGGCATGTCTGTGGAAAGCCATAAACTGTCTAAACCACAGTGACTAACTCCTCTTTACCTCTCTTTCAGGGGAGTCCCTGAAGGCAAGTTCTTCATTCAACAGATACTTATAAATGAGTACTATACACTAGGCACACTTCTGGCCACTTGTGGACACAGCAGGAAGGAAGGCGCTAGGTCAAGATGGGGCGTAGACTAAGATGGGCACTGGGAGCCGAGCCTAGGGGATCAACAGACGGCACCAGGCCCACTGGACTAGTGCCCTTCCTTTGGAGGGAAGCACCTGGGAATCCGAGGACCTCGGTTCCTACCCAGCTCCCATCCCTGGTGCCTTTAGACCAGCTGCCTACTTGCCCCAAGCCTCAGTTCCTTCACATGCAAAGTGGGAGAATAAAGAAGGGAAGCTTATCCACAGTATCACTATTACTATCTCCTCACTATTGCTGTGATGTTATCAGCGCAATCCAGAGCCCGGGTTTTGTGCAACAAGTGAACATCCATCAGCACAATGAATGTGTTCTATGAATTGTTACGTGCCAGAGGAGCCTTTTTAAATAAATCATATCATAAGTGAGTTTTCAGTGAAACTGCAGGAATGTGTTGATACAAATAAACACCACCCTAATTTGTTTCACCTTCAGTGTGATGTCTAGCTAGCTAGGAATGGTGCTGGACCAAGCGGAATGGCACCCTTTGGGACTCTGCAGGTGGGCGTACTGTACCGACACAGGGTCCAAGCAAGCAAGGGGCTGGAAATGTTGGTGAAGAAAAAGGAATTTGAGTGTGTTTAGAAGTAGCAGGAAAAGGGTGCAGAAGGTATACTGGGGTACAATCTTATCTTTCTTCAAGGATGACTGCAGTGCGGTCAGTCCTCAGACTTGGCCCTCAGCCCTTAGACCAAGCGCCTGGCCAGGAGCCCACAACAAACAAGGAGTGAGTAACATGGTGGCTATAAGGGCAGGGGGAGCGCAGAAGGTGGGCCGGCGGCCCGAGCAGGAGAGTGATGGGGGAGGCGGTGTTGGATTGAGACCTGCTGACTCCTCTCTTCCTCTCTCCCTGCACTCTCCTCTCGAGGTGGGAGGGTGGGACCTAGGTCCAGGCCCGGCTGAGGAACGCATTACTTCATTTCTCTAAACCGCATCATCTGTCTCATGAGAAGCTAGGTTGGATGAGACATGGTGAAGTGGATTCGCCTTGCTTCTTGATCCATTGCTGGGGGCCTCCGGGCGGCCCGAATGGAGGGTTCTGAGGCTGTGTCCGTGTCTACCGCTAGAGGGCTGGGGGTGAGGAGGCTGGTCTCGGTGCTCAGGTGGCCTCTTTGCGGGACTGGCCCAGGGACTGTCCAGGACTGCCCTTCCTCCCGCCCTTGTCCTGTCCCTTCTGTCTCCTGACCCTGCTGCTGCTTGAGCAGCCCAGAGGGCGGTGCTCCAGGGCACATACTCCCTGTAAGCCACAATTTACTTCAGTCACAGTTGCCCCCTGGGTCCCATCCCGTGAGAATTAGCCTCCAAATTGCTCCCGGAAATTGAATTCATCAGTCTCATTCCCCTGCATTCTGAGACTCTGATCCTCGTCTCCCCTTGGTCACCTGATTTCCTCCCAGCAGAGCTGAGGTTTCTGAACCAAGTGCCGGAGAAGACCCTGCTGACCTCCTCCCGTGACCTTGGCCTCCTGGACAGGCCGATGTGACTCCCTTCAGGTCAGCCCTGTCCCCGACTGTAGTTCCATAAACGTTCCTTTCAGTCCCACAAAACTCTTTGCTTCAATTCCTTAAATACATGGTTTCTTCCCCAAAAGGCAAGAACCTTTCAACCTTCTTGGAAATGAAACCATGGAAGCCGTGAGGCAGAGGCCCTCTATCATGGGCTAACCATACCCTTTTATCCACTTACTTATTTTAAGGCTCTTCACCATAAATTTATCTTTGGCTTGTAGCTCTATCTCCTCTGCACTCAAACATACTTCCAGCATGGTCTTATAAGAGCTGGCATAGACACAGATCCACACTGAGTTGTCATGAAGGGGGCTCTATAAGAAAACACGGCACCTGGATGTATCGGTAGTAGTGCAGTATTGGTAAAGAGGAGGGTCAGAACTGCCGTGTGGAGGAATTCAGGGGGCAGAGGTGGTTTCAGACAACTTTATTTGCCCCCTTTGATGTCCGCCCTCTACATGACCCTTTTCAATTCCTTATCTTGTTCTGATAGCAAGGAGAATTTATGGCAATCCAGAAATCCCTCTGGCAGGACTAAATATAATTTTGCACAAAAGGATGGAGGCGGGTAATAGACTCTTTGATGATAAAACCGAACTCAGAGGCTCTGACCAGCTGAGCTGGAGTGAGCCCTGGAGCAGCCAGGACCAGGCGCCTCCAGACCGTCCCTGGCAAGTGTGTTGGGACCTCAGACTGGACACCTGAAGGGAACTGGGAGGAATGGCTGGCAACCCTGCGTTCCCCAAAGCCTGATGCTGCTTCACTCTTGGCTGGTTTAGGGAGAAGCTGAGAGTCAGAAGGACAGCCAGAGCCTCTGGGTTGGAAAGGGAATGACCCGGGGAGACTGTGAAGCAGGAGGGGGTTGCAGGAGGCAGCAGCAGGGCCCTCAGGAAGCCTCAGAGGAGGAGGGTCCGTGGAGGTGGGGGCTGAGCTGGTCATGGGATGCACACTCACCACCGCCCTCCTCTCCCCTGGGTCCTGGCCTCCTTTCCTTTCTTTTAAAGTCACCTCTTCCTCCATCAAATAGGTTGTTAGTCCCTCTATCCTTGAGATCCTTCTCCTGCTAACCTCCTACCCTGCCTTCTCGCTGTGTGGCCTCCCAGTCCGCTCACCATATTTCAGCCACATGGTCGGTGTTTAGGTCCGGTCTTGACCAGGGCCGCATGTGGACATTCTTTAAGGAGCTCCAGGCCAGTGCCCTGGGTTCAACCCCCACAGGGCTGGCCCAGTTTTGTAACTGCAGCCCTGACTTGCTTCCCACTCTTGGCAACCCGCCTGGACCCAGTCCCTGAGCCTGGGCACTGCTCGCTCTCCTTGGAGACCCTGACTCCGTGCCGGTTGGGCCCTTGGCTGGCCATCAGCCTTCCCAGGGGTCACACACACCCTGTGCCTGTCATCACCTGGGCCTGAGTCAGACGACCAGCCTCAAGGACACACCCAAGCTGTGCATTTGCTGCCTGGATGACTCCCGGGCGCCTGCCACTAGCCGCTCTGCCCCACAGTGCCTGTCCCGCAGCTGGTCTGGAGACAGGGCATGTTGCTAAACTAAGAGCTGACAGAGGTTGGAATCGTCCCCTGATTTGACTGCATGCTGCTGGGAGTGTGCGAAGCCTCGACAGGATGGCAGGGTGGGGGGAAGGGGTGGGGCTGCAGGGCACCGAGTTTGCCCCAGGCCATTCCAGCTACACTTCGTACCAATACCCCAGGCTGCGCTCTGAGACACCTGTCCTTTCCCCTCACTTGGATGGTCCTGGTCCCCACACCCACATGCCTCGTCCGCACCCTTATCCTTTACCTGTCCTGCCATTCGCAAGTGGCAGGCAGCCCGTCCGGTGGTGGCCAGTCCACCCACAGGGGACAGGGCCTCTTCTGCTCCCCTGTCTCCTCCCTGCCCCGTCCCATTTTCTCTGGCTGACATCACTCCACCCAGCTCACAGATTTTTCTCCTTTCATCACTTTGGTCAAAACAAATGACCCATCTCTGCTGACTTCACCCTCTTTTGAAATTCTGAACTCTGAGTCAACATTTTCTTTCTTGCTGCCTGCACACTGGGCTTCCTTTATTAACCCTTCACCTCTGTGCCCTCCTCTTCTAAGATGACCTTCCACATTGGATGTGGGGGTGCACAGAGGGGAACTTCCAGGTATAGAGTCATTTAACAGAGGGTGGATGAACTTAGGTCCGATGACCCCTGGTCCCTCAGGCAGGTGGGGGTCTTGCTCTTCTGAGGCAGTGGTTTTCAAATTCCAGGACTCTCAGGGGGCAGAGCCAGTGGTCATTTGTTTGGCTTGGGACCTGACTTCCATAAAAGCATTCATTTCAGGAGAGAGCTGCGAGGTCCCCAGCACGTTTGAAAACCACTGGTCAGAAGGGCTGTCCCCCACACTGGCTGGTGTGCTCAGTGGATTGAGTGCCGGCCTGTGAACCAAAGGGTTGCAGGTTCGATTCCCAGGAGGATCACATGCCTGGGTTGCAGGCCAGGTCCCCGTGGGGAGCAGGCAAGAAGTGATCATACATGGATGTTTCTCTCCCTCTCTTCTTCCCTCTCTCTAAATAAATAAAATCTATAAAAAAAGATTTTTTTAAAAAAAAGAAGGGCTATCTCCCATCTGCCTCTCCCATAGCTCCTGGTTCAATGCCCAGGTGCACTCCCAAAACAGCCCATTGTTGTGGGGGTCCCTCCAATATCTGAGGACCGTTGTGGGCCTCTGCCCTGTACCTTTACTCCCCTGCAAGCCTTCTCTGCCCAAGCATATACCCCACTCTCTCAGCCGCTGCTCAGGCCCTGGCTGGACGGCCGATGGCCTTCTGCCAGGGAGACCCACCCTTGCCAGGGTCAGACGCATGGGGCACACTGGGCCGAGCCCTCACCCGTCCTCACCCTTTCCCACTCAGGCCCCAGCTGGCCCCTAGTCCCTGAGCCTGCCTCCCCTCAGAACAAGGGCTTTGCTCTAGACTCCCCTAAGGTGCTTCCAGCCTGAATGCTTTGAGGAGCCGAGACCCTCAGGTGAGCGAGTTGCTCTGCTGAGTGTCCCTCAAGGGCAAGGCTGTGAAGCATGCACAGTGGGAGTTACACCGCAGAGACCCAGCTGTGACTGCCCCGCCGTCTTCTCCAGGAATTTGATCTAGAAATTGCCTCCAAAATGCAATGCCCATTTTACTCCACAGTTTTGTCAAATTTTTCCTTCTTTTTAAATGTTTTTACGCAGACCAAGTGTTCACCACTTCACAGCACCTGGCTCCTGGCCTCAGGTCCCTGCTCTTCCATGGGGCCTCAGGGTGAGGTTCTGGAAATCTACCGAGCACCCAGTTCAGGCACCCCCAGAATGTCTGCCCCCCATGGCTTGATTTTGCTGCTCGGGCCATATTCTGGCACCTCTAACAGTTGCCAGAGGAATTAGGGAAGACGCTGATGATGAACAGAATTGAGGGCCAGAGAGGGGACTGGACCCCTTGGAACCAGGGAATTGGCCCTGATGACCCTCCCACCCCCACGTAGGCTGCAGGCCCAGACCTCCCTGCCGTACCTGAGAGGAGGGCCTGGCCCGCGAGCTGCCCATACACGGAGGCAGCGTGGGGAAAGGCATTGAAGGGCGGGACCGAGGCTCCCGCTGGGACCCCAGAGCCGACTTGCTGCAGGTCCAAAAAGGCGGAGCTAGATAAAGAGGAAGGGGTGGAGCTAGAACTGGACACCTCAGGGCTTTCCTGCTTTATGGCGAAGGGTGAGTGAGGATCTGCCGGGGAGGGAGACAAGGAGAGAGGATGAGATGATGGTGGGAGCATGCACAACCAAGCCATGAAATGGGGGGGTGGCGGGGCTCAGGGCAGCGGGGCACCTGTCTGAGGGGGGCTGGGCTGGGCTGGGTGCTCCTCATGCCAGCCAAGGTGGGAAGCAGCTCTACCTCTGCTGTGCCTCTGCCAGTGTATACAGAGCACTGCTGCGCCCGCCTCTCTGGCAGTGGGGTCACAGGCAGAGGAGGGGCCAAACTGAGAGGGCCAGACCCTCGTGACCCACCAGGAGGCCCAGCCAGCACAGCCCTCTCTTCTCTCCAGGTCCAGGGCCCTAATATCTTCCTCCTCACACCAGCCATGCCCTGCCTTCACCTGCTTTTTAGCTCATCTTGGCAGCCCGGGCCACATGGCCCAGGAGATTCTGGGCATCCTACCTGTCACCACGGGGTAAGTCTGGTGAGTTGAGAGGTTGCGCCCCAAGGGTGTGTTGGAAGTGGTCAGGGTGGCCTTTCCATCATCCAGGGCACTGTTGAGCAGAGGCAGTGGGTAAAGGCCCTGAGGAAAAAAGAGAAGTCAACATAGAGGCCCCTGGAGCAAGCCTTACCTGCAGCTAACATCAGAAAACACTCCCACATTGTCCCCTTCTTCTGCCCATTCTTGACCCTCTTCAGTGTGTTTAATTTATTCTTATTCTCTGACTCACAGCCCCACTGTGCTTCTCTTAATCCAGACTGAAAGTTCCCTCTCTGCAGTTGGCTGGGGACCCGTTGAAAAGACACAAGATGGGGCATCTCCCTCGGAGCACCTCACCCCAGCTGGACTGCAGGTCCCCCTCCTGCCTGCTCTCACAGCGTGAACCCACCAAGGACAAGATACGAGATCAGGCCTTTGGCCCAAAGGACTGTGTACTGCGTTTCACTCAGTCATGTATTTTCCTCCAAATAGGAAATGTGGGTACAGAAAGGTCAAGAAATGTGTTACTCTCATATGGGGCAGAGCCAGGATTAAACACCGGGTGCCTGGCTCCCGGGCCAGGCTCCCAGCTGCTGCCCTAAACTGGCTAACATCACCCGCATGTGCACCTGCAGAGAGCTCTGCCTTCATTGCCCTGACCTGCCCCCTGGCAGCCCTGTGATGTGGGCAGGCGCTGTTGTCCGTTGTCTCTACAGAGACCCAAAGCCCGAGGCCTTTGTGAAGCAGGGGCTACAGTCAGGCCTTCTCTCTTCAGTAGCCCCGCAGACTCGGTTCTCCGCCAGAACAGGCGGATTTCCTCTCTCTCTCTCTCCATATCCAAGCAAACAGAAACGTTCAGGTTCAGCTTGAAGATGGTATTTGGGTTTTGTCTGAAAATTTTTTTTATCAAGTATCTGGGGTTTTCTTTATTAAGACCTCATATTAGGCTCCCCGGGCCTCCACTGCACAAGGGGGCCGCCTCCGAAGGTGCTCCCTCCAGAAAGGAGTTGTTCAGTTCCAAGGGGCACACGTCACTCCCCCCTGTGACCCTCCCACCAGAGGATGAGGCAGCACACAGTGCACACCGTCCCCCACGTGAGGGCCACGCACATCACAAACTCATTCTGTGAAACTGTGCAACACTGAACTCAAAGAATGCTTCCTGGACACGGTTGCTTCCAGCGACTTCCATTGAGCTGGCTCTCTAAGGAGATGCAGCCCTTTCCGGTTCAGAGTCTGGCACTTCTGGCACCTCAGTCAATCCTGGGGGCCACCAGAGTGCCGTTATCCTGCAGAGCGATTTCCGACTCGGTGGCGCCACGGTTCCACGCCTGCAAGGGGCGGCTTGGAGGCAGGGCAGAGAAGCTCACAGCACGACTTAGAAATTGGGCAAAATACCTAATTTCTAAAGGGTAAGGCAAGTTTAAAATGCCTTGTGAATGTGTGGTTTCCACACCAAAATACCTATTGAAATCCTACAGCTGCTCCGAAATCCAGGAAATTCTGTGGAAAAAAACCCAAACCTGTACAGCCAGATATTTGGTGACACTGCACAGAGTGGCTTGCACATCTCAGTAGTGACTGGATTTCTCCTGGGAACTGGACTTGAATTGGGGTGCAGGGTGGCACGATGCATCAGAACCAGGGTGAGCTCTGGCCCTGCACTGCCAGCCAAGAAGCTGTTGTGTTCTGACCTCTCGGAGCCTCATTTCCTAACCTGTGTAACAGGGGCAATGGGATCTGCTTCAAGAGGCTGCTGGAAGTTGCACACGCGTACGGAGCAGCCAGCACAGAGCACCCGGAACAGCATGTGCTCTATAGTTACCGCAGGCATTGCTGTTTCGGTGATCAGAAGAGCCAGGAGCTGCCAAGTTCTCGGTCTCTGTCACTCCGTTCACTCCTGCTGACCTGCCTGTCAGTGCACTTGAAAAACAGGACCAGGAGCTGCAGAGACTCCCAAGTCTGGTAGTGAAACAGGGACAGAGAGCCGAGGCCACGTGACGCTTCTGTCGCACCCTCTCCCTCTTTTTGATTTTACAGAACAGATAGTGTGTCTTTGCCCCAAGTGAGGTCAGGTGTGAGGACCTGTGCTTCTCTCGGCTGCCCAGACCAGAGGGTCTTGCCGTGCCAGGTGAGAGGACATGGGTGTTCCTTTGGCAGCACTGTAGGTCAGCAAGGGTGGGAAAGTCACCACACTGCGCTGGGTTTTCCCTGCCCCTCCAGAAGTCCGGTGAATGATGACCGGCAGGCGACTCACTGGGGGAGTGAGGCGTCACGGAGGGACATGCTGGGCCTAGTGTCCTTGCCTGGAGGATGAGGGGGTGGGGCAGTTCCATGCCTTCAAACTCTCTTTTCCAGTCTTCAGGGAAGAACCCACCAGGTAGGGTCAGCCAGTCTCAGTGATGCTGGCGCCTCAGGCCTGAGTCCCACCACGGCTTGCTCGGACCCTCCCTGCCCTCTCTGGCCCTGGCTCATCTCCACACAAATGAAGACCCTGGGCTTTGTGGTCCCAAGGTCCCTCTAGTTCTGACTCCCTCACTCCACAATTCCCTACGCAGGTGTGCCCGTGTGGCACAGAGTCTCAGTTTCAAGATCGAGCAGGGTCCCTCAAGGGGCTCAGGAATGGAGCCAGGGGATGGCTCTGCAGCCCAGCAGGCGCCCAGGGCCTCAGCGGCAGGGCTCTTCCACTCCCCCAGGACGGCCGGTGCTTGCATGCTGGGTTGCACAAGCTCCTTGAATAGGGTGGGCTCCCACGGCTGCACCCCACTCCCTCCAGAGCCATGTGCTGACTCTGGATGAGCACCCAGCCCTGTCCCCAGGTCTGCTGACAGACAGCTTTCTCTGCACCCCTTGTGGCTGCCACCGCCCAGGCTGATAAAATCGCTGACGCAGATCGCCTGCCCAGCTGCAGGCACTGGCACGAGCCCAGCTGCCCAGATGGCCGCTGGCAGTGGTTCAGCTGATTGGTAGCCTCATCGCCATCATCCTACTCAGTTCTTAAAGGTACAAGTGTTTGTCTCACTCCTGGACAATGACAGTGTGAGCAAAGAGGGGAAGCAGACATGGCCCTGAGACTCCTCAGCTGGCCGACTGGCTGGGGAGGGGGAGGGGGGCGTGCGGAGGACATGTGGCTGCTGACAGATAGTGTTGACCAGAGGCAGCCTCCTGGAAGTTCTGTCGGAGAGGCAGCACCCACTGGGCCCGGGGGAGGTGTCTGCTGTCTCTGCCACCTTCCTAGGAACTGGTCCAATACACACTGTCACCTGTCTTGAGCCCCGGAAATGAGAATGCCCTGGGAGTTCGCAATCTATTGCCTGGATTTCCCAACTGGTTCACTCAGCCCACTTGCACTGAGTGTCTATTATAAGAGGGCACTGGATGGTAGAGATTTTAAAAGGTGCTCCAAGATGCTGCCCACTGTGTGGCTACACCCGTGTCCACTGGACAGCTGCGATCCAGCATGAGAAGTGGCAAGGAGTGGCAGGCCGGCATGCAGAAGCGATGAGGGAGGGGGGCCACACACCTCGGGGTGGGGGGGGTGGGGAGGACTCACGGGCAAAGGGATGCTTGAGCTGAGTCATAATGACTGGGTGGTACTTTTCCAGGCATGCTGCACGGAGGCACACGGTGTGCCAGGGCAGGCGGTGTGAACGAGAGTGCATGCTCGGGACGAGAGTAACGCAGGGTCCTGGGCTGTGCAGGTGTGAGTGGCCGGAGGTGGGACCGTGAGCCCCGCTTGAGGCCTCGGTGCAGAGGCTTTAGGCTGCAGCTTAAAGCTGTGGGACCTGCCCCTGTGGTCTGGGAGGCGCTGGGGGCAGGGGGACGGCAGGACCTGGCATGACTCTCACAGTGGGCTCCCAGTGAAAGTGCTGAGCTCATTATGGGTGAGGGAAGGCAAGAGGGCTGGGGGAGAAGGAAGAGGCACCAGTGTCTGGTACAACAGCAGATGTTTTGGCTTGGAGCTGCTTGAAGCTGGTACCCCCAGCCACCAAAGCAACTTCCGGCTGCCTTGGTGGCAGGACTGCAGGCAATTCAGGGGTCTTCAGAGACCATGCCTTGCTCAACCCCGGCCCGCCACAGCCCACCCCCACACCCCGCTTCTCACCTGCTCGCCTTTGGTGTGGCTGGGGGAGGCGTAGGCCTCGGAGTAATGCTGCCGCTCAAAGGGGCACTCGAGGGGCTCCAGATGGTGCTGGCTGAAGGCGTCCGTGCGGAGGTGCTTGCGGGGCCCGCTGCTGCTGCTCTGGGAGTCGATGCTCAGCCGGCAGCTGTCCTGGTCACCTGGCACCCCCACGCAGGGAGAAGGCATTCAGGAGACCCATTTACCCATCCCCAGGCCAGTGTGGAGAGGCAGACTGAACTGCAGAGGGAGGGAAAGGACCCATGTCCCAGGCCTCGGAGCCTCAAGGCTGTGGCCGCCTCAGAGAAAGGCCACGTGCTGCAGGCCAGGAGTTGCCAAGACTACAAAGTCCGGGGCCAAATGGGGGGGTTTCTGCCCTATCGGAGCCTGAGCAAACTGCCCTCCTGCACCCCACCCTGCCCTCCATGCGCCCCACACTCACTGTCGTCCATCTTCCTCTTGCTGTCGCTGCTGGGCTGGGCGATCCCCAGCAGCCCATTAATGGAATATGTGGAGCCCAGAGAGTCGGACTGGGGTGACTCCGGCGGTGTCACAGCCGAGCTGGGGACTGCAGGGCATGAAAGGGACAGGGTAAGGTTGTGGGAGGGCCATGCCTGGCGCCACCAGCATGGAGGAGTCAGGGTACCAGTGGGAGGGGTGTGTCTCCTAAAGGTCTCAGTGACTGGTCCCTGGAGTGTGGCAGGGCCTTGTCCCCACGGAAGAGCTTGGCCCACACCTCGAGTGGGCTCTGAGGGCGTGTGGGTGGCCCCACGTGTGCACAGATGGGCGTGTGTGGGCAGGGGAGTGTGCCTGCAGGCCCTCGACACTTACTCAGGGTGTGTCCTGGGCTCAGGGACTTGGTGGCCACGCAGTTGTCCATGGGGAGATTGAATGGCTGCTGCACTTTGGTCCGGATGATTCTGAAGGAAGGAAGGGAGGCCAGTAGAGAGCAGAGGGGGCAACGGGACCCGAGGCTGCCCCAGACCCAGGTGCTTTTTTGAAATCCCACTTGCGGGTCGTAAAAGCACCTCTCACTCAACCTGTCCACTTCACACCCGTGACCTTACTCTCACACCTGGTCCTGCCAGTGTTCCCATTTCATGGGTGGTACCACCAGTCACTCAGGGAGTAAGTACAGGTGGGGCTCAACCCTACCTGCCCCCAGCTCTGCTCTCAAACTGCCCTCAGGTGCTGTGCTCTGACCGGGAGCCTCCCAGCCTGGGCCCCTCTCTGCCTGTCACTGTGGTGCCTCAGTGTGCACCGCCACCCACCCTCTCCCCCCAGGTTGTTCGCTGGCCACCCCACCCACAGCTGACCTTCTAGTCTCTTCTCCCTTTTGCAGGCAGCCTGGACTTTCTGAAATGTAAGTCAGCCTATGCTTAATACTGCCAAGGGCTTCTTGTTGCTCAAGGGCAGAGGCAGGGACTCCGGCCTGGCCTCTACCCCCGAAAGGGCAGCCTTGGCTGATGGTGCCACCGCAGCCTGACTCCTGTCCTCCTCCTCTTTATCTACTGGCTTTCTTTCAGCTTCTTGTAGAAGATCCTGTTGGCCCCAGGGCCTTTGCATGGGCTGTCTCAGAGCTCACTCTCCTTTTCCCGTAGTGAGCTCTTACTCATTACTTCTTACTCAAGGACATGTTTTCAGACCTTTCATAAACCAGGTCACTCCATGCGCGCTCACACACCCTCATGTTCCTCTCCTTAGCAGGGCTAGAGTTGCATTTTTACAACTATTTGTGTGGGTACTTGTGTAGCAGGTATCTTCCCACTAAGTGTACGAGTAAGCTCTGCCAGGGCAAAGATTTTGTCTCCAGGGCCTGGCACATAACAATGAATTGTGTGTTTATAAATGAATAAGCGAGTAAGCAAATGACTGATTAAAGTAGTAAGTGAATAACTGAATGGCTAGACAACTGAGTGAATATCTGAATGAGGGGTTTTGTGGCTAAAGAAAGGATTAATTCAAGGAAAAGATTCTCTTACTGAATGAAAAATGTGGTGTGGAAAGAAGGAAACTGCAGAAAGTGCAGCCAGGTAGGCCACGGGCCGCCTGCGGCCCTGAGGCGGCCCGGGGTGAGAGACCTGCCCTGTGCCGGCAGGCTTCCTGCCTGACTCTGGGGGGGGGGGGCCTTCCCAGCCCTGCTCCACAAGCCAGAACCTTCCTCAGGTCTCTCTCATAAGCCCCAAGGCCCCTGGCTGCTGTCTGTCTCTCACCTGTTGATGGAGCTGACACTAGGCACAGTGTCATTGTCACAGACGCCCTCAGCCAGGAGCCGGTCTCTGATCTCCCAAGCAAACATGGTGGGGTTCTGTCGCTTGTAGTCCCCGATCTTCTCCACCACCTTGGGGGTGGCCACCTTGGGCTTGGAGCCGCCTATCACCCCAGGCCGGATGCTGCCAGTCTCGTAGTACCTACTCCAATAGATAACCCATAGATTACCCTGTAGGCAGGTGGGTCTCTGGGCATGGACAAGGGGGAATCCCCCCCAAAACCAGAATTTGTTTATTAAAAGTCGTGTACTTATTCTTACATGTTCAAACTTCAGTTACCTTCAAAGCACTCTCCATTTGATACATCACACCTATCAAGACTTTCTTCCACTGCTAAAAACAGTTTTTGAGCTTGTCAATTTTGACGCCTTTTAGTGCTTCTGCGGGTTTTTGTTTTACCTCTTCCACCTCATGGGCAAAACGTTTCCCCTGAGGACTTTTTTCATCCAGGACACAAAAAGCAGTCGCTTGGGGTAAGATCAGGTGAAGAGGGAGGGGGTCGTGGTTTTTGTTCAAAAACTACCGAACACTCAGCCCGTGTGGGCAGGTGCGCTTGTCAATCACCCATCGTAAAATGAGCAAACGCATTAAAAGAGTTTTCAAAACAATTCACTGAAGCCAAATGCAGCCTCTCACAGCAGCGCCAGCTGGTACACTGATACAGATGGGTTCCTAGAACATTTAATTATGGTGTTTTGGGGGTCATCCCTCATAGACAGACCCTAATCCCCTCTGAGGCTTCTGGAGAGGACCGCAGGGTAGAATGCGCCGCCCCCCACCCCCCTGGGTTGGCCTTGAATACTGGACCTTCTGGTGCTTTTTCCCCCGCATAGGCAGGTTTGCGCTGCTGCCTGGCCAGACCCTCTGCTGAAGCCCTCGCCCCTGGGCCCCTGGCTTCTCCCTTTCCTCTCTCTCTGGCTAGTATGAGCACTTACAGGGCCCACTTTAGGGGCCATAAAAGATTCCCCTCTAAGAAAGAGAATGTTCATGCCGGTGCCCTGTGAATCATGGGTTCACAGTGGCGGTTTCTTCTGTCCGGCTTCTCTTGGCTACAATATGACTCACTCTTCTCCTTGGCCACCCTGGGTTTTTTTACCCCTCCCCAGGGGACCAGCTGGGGTCACTGGGCCCTCTGCCCTGTCTGCTGGTTCACCTTTGCTCCCCATTCTCTCACTCCCTCCCTCAACTGGCACTGGTTTTCTACCAGGTTACCTGGTTCAAGTGGAAGCCACTCCTCACAAAGTCTGGAATCCCTGCCCTGTCCGTATCTCCGGCCTCATCCAGTTCCTTAAGCTGAGACTTTGCTCCCTGGGTCTCTTGCCTCCCCTCCCTTCATCCCCAGCTGGCTCCTTGTTCTGGAAACTCTCCGGTCTCCTCTGCCATGAAATGGCATCCACTCTTTAAATTCTGTCTGTTGCCACTACCTAGGGACCACCTTCTCTCTGGTCCACTGAGCCCATCTTGGGGACCCCTCTCCTGACCCTCGAAGCGGCCACACTCTTCCGTTGACAACTTTCGTCAGGGACCCAGAGGTTCCCATGTTTTAGCGATAGGCCCTTTGCCTCTGAAAACTGGAGCTCCTTCTGAATCTGCCCACCTGCCTCTTCAAACACACATTTACTAGGGAAGGGAGGCAGGTACCCTGAGCTGACTTGAAGCTGCCAACCGTGTGCCTTGGGGACATTTCTGATAAGAGTGATTTTCCAGACCAGGTTATGCGGCTACATCGGCCTGGATGCAGGGCTTTGCTGCTCCTGGTTTCTCCTGAACCTTAGCTCTGCAGTTCTCGGCTCTGGTTTTTGAACATGAGAATCATTTGAGGGCCCTGAATAATTCCAAACCGGCTATCGTTCCTGGTAGAATTTCCCCTAAAGTTCAGCTTTAACGGCCATGGGCTGGGGCCTAGGCCTCGATTTTTTTAAATTGAAGTTTCCGGGTGACTCTAACACGCACGGTCACCTGGTCACCACATGGAGCTCAGAGCATCCAGGCTGCTAGAGAGGGCAGAGGCCTAGGGACCTGCATTTCTTCAAGCAGCCCTGCACCTCTGGCGCAGGTGCTCGGGGAGTTACAGTTGGAGAAGCACAAACCCAGATGCCCCTCGCGCAGGGCTTCCGCCGTGGGAGGCGTCTGATAGCGCGTCCCCTCCCCATGGCTCCGCCTCCCTCGGTCTCAGCAGGGCAGGACCTTTGGGGAAGCGCCTCCTGCCGCAGGGTGGAGAAGCCCTTAGAAAGTGAGACGTGAGGTGAGGAGAGAAGCAGGAGGGAGGAACAAAGGAAAGAAGAAAAACTAACTAAAGAAGGGAGAAAGGAAGGGCAGGAGCACGGCAGAAGAGCATCCTCTGGGGGCCCAGAGGCACTGCCACTCCCTGTCCGGGTCCTGGGACCCGGGTCCCTGGGAGGGAGGGTGGCTGCGAAGCTGGGAGGTGCGGAGACCCGCCCTTCAGGAAGGCGGCGTGCGGTGAATTTCGTGCTTACCTGCCAAGGATCTTGCTGACACAGCCATGGCTGACGCGGAGCTGGCGGGAGATGTCGCAGGGCCGCACGCCCTGGTGGGCCAGGTCCACGATGCGCTGCCGCACCACTTCCGGCAGGGGCCTGCCGTTCACGAAGGCCCCTCCCAGCTGGTTCAGCCCTCCGTGGCCTGAGAAGACAATAGTCCCAGCACAGTTGTCAGGGCTCACTCTGGGTGCGCCCGCCAATTCAAGCACACACGTATCGTGTGCCTCTTAGGAGGCAGGCGCTGTACCAGGCCCCAAGGATGCCCAAGTGAATACGGCAGATGTGACCTCTGTTCTTGCCTCGCCAGGTTTATGAGAGTGGGGCCTAGACTGCCAACAGCCCGTTAACACACCGCATGACCACTGCTGGGGGCATGGAACCACGGGAGGGGGCCAACCTCAGGCTCAGGGGACCACAGAAAGGGCTCCTGGAGAGGTCTAAGCTGAGACTGCAGGTAAGAGTGTTAGTTGCGTGAAGGGAGAAAGGAGGAACCCAGTCAAGGTGGTGGAACCCCAGGCGAAGATGGAGAAGTGAAGAGGAGGTCTTCTGTTAGACTGATCAGCTCCCTAGAGCGAGCCCGGCTAACGTCAGGGCTGCGGGCTCCTGGACTCTGGTGAGGACTTTGGGCTTGGAGAGTTTCTGTGGCTTGATTCACATGACCTAAGTGACTCAGCTTGTATAAAGAGGAGCGAAGATACAGCCAAAGGCTAAGGTTCCCACCATGCTTCCTGGTGCGGGCCCCACGGCCTGGACCGACCCTAGAAGCTGGGCACTGGCCCTGCAGCCCTGTGCCAAGGGGGCCGCAGCCTGGGTACGGAGTCTTCTCCCTCCAGGGCAGGATGCCGTGATCAGCGTGAGGGTGGAGCCCTGCGGGCGGCTGTCAGGGGAGCAGGCAGGTGAGGAGGGCAGAGCCAGGCCTGCTGGGCAAGCCCGTTAAGGACTGTTTACGGGCAAGGTAGGCAGTGCCTCTGCTGGACACATCGTGCCCATCCCGCCCACTGACTTAGCACATTCGGAACTGCTGTGCAATGTCTCCTCAGGGGCCCAAGCTGTCTTTGGCACAACAGTCGATGTTAAAAAAAAAAAAAAAAGGCCAAAAGCTTCTTTCCTGAGCACTAAGTCAGGAGGAAAAGCCCACTGGCCAAACCCCCGGCAGAAGGGACACAATGACCCATCTTCCTGGTGAGCCTGGGTACACTTCCAACCTTACCATTCCAGGCAATGTGACCCTCAGATGTTTTTCTACTAGGGCTGAAAGAAATCCGGAGGGTATCAGGGCTCCCAGAAGGCGGAGGAGTGGCCTGGGCCCACTCCTGAGCCCGTCCCACTGGCTCTTCACTGGCCACAGCCTGACCCACGTTCCCTCTCTGTTGCCTTCGGTTCTTCGGGTTGCAGACACTGAACACAAGGGGGCGCCAGATGGCCACTCAAACCTAGACAAGCCTTTGAGCGTCCAGCTCTGTCCCCATTTCCCAGAACATGGCTCTTGGGCCACCTACCCAGGCTTAGGTGTTTGTGCTAGGGCTTCATATACAAGTGGGGTTCCTCATCCCTAAATAGCCAACAGGTTTAAAAAAGCCAAACACCACTTTGAAATGGCATGAATTGGGTATTTTGACTTTAAAAATGTACCCCATTTCTCCACTGAAGCTGTGCGGGTTATTCTCCTTGATCTCCTTGAAGGGCTGGCCAGAATCCTTAAAAGCCCAAGGCCCCCAGCACCCCTCCTGAAAGGTTACTTACTGGGTCAGCCTGCGTGAAGGGAAAGAGAAGCTCATGCCTCCAAATTCTGGTGCTTTAGTTTATTTTACTGGTTTCTGAGTGACTCTGGGTTACTGTTCAGAGATGTGGGCTGATTCCTGCACTGACTTTGCCTGTTTTTATTTTATCATTTGAGAAAGTTGGGTTTTGTTTCAACCTCAGTGTTTTCATCCATTGAATGGAGCTAAATAGAACCGGTTACTGCGTCTGCTGCTAACCCATAACAGTAGTTGTAAAAAGATGGGGATGGGGTGAGAATGGAGAGGTGTGTGTTTAGCTGAAAATCTTGATGTAAGTGTCAAGGTTTTCTAATGTTTAATGTCGATATGGTTGCAGGTTATGGCCCAAGCTCAGCCCTAAGACGGGGCCAGTGGTGCTCAAACTTGAACGTGGGTCAGAATCAGTTAGGGGGCTTGGCAGAACACGGAATGTGGAGCCCTCTGCCTCGAGTTCCTGAATCAGCAGGTCTGAGATGGAACCCAGAACCTGTGTTTCTAAAACGCTTCGGGTGGGGTTGTGCTGCTGGCCTGGAGCTGTGTGTTGTGAACTGGGCAATAGCTGGTAAAGAAAATTTAAGAGAATAACGAACTACTTGTACACCTCTGACCCCAGCCCCACCTTCTTCTAGAACAATAATTCCCATTGTTTTTATATTAGTTTCCATTTCTTTTTTCTCAACACCTATGTGCCCAGTGCCCACCATGAATCGGGTACCACCTTGGACAAGAGGAGAAACCAGGCTGTCGAGGAACGATGCAGTCTAAGGAAGACGTGTTTTGAGAGAGGTAAGTCCAGGTGCTACAGGGCCCACGGGTGGCTGGAAGGAAGTTGTCGGGAGGGATGGCCAGGAGGTAGCCAGGTGAAGAAGTTTCCACAGGACAAAAGTCCACGCACAGGGTCTTAGTGCTCTTGAGACAGGAGAGACTCCCTCAGCTGGGGGACGGGCCGGAAGGGGCACCTGGACGGGGCCCTGGCTGCAGACGGAAACGGCCCCTCCGGTGTGAGGTTTGGAGCAGAGTCCCTGTAATGGAAGGTTGTTTGTCCTTCCTGTGTCCGGTGTGGGGGAGTGGACTCCTTTGGGTGAGTCACACCAAATGCCCAGAGGTGGGTGCAGCCTTCCTGCACTGAAGGGCTGGGACACCCACTGTGCTGACCACCTTTTTGTGTGGCTGTGGGCAGGTGGACTTTGGAAGCTAAAAATGAGTGGGAGTCCCTGGTTGGGCCCGGAGGAAGCTGTGGACCAGGAAGAAGAGGCTTGCAGCTTCCTAAACAAAGGCCCTTTGCATGGTCTGGAGGGTCGTGGGCGCGGAATGGCGAGCGTGGAGGAGGAAGACAAGGCGCCTGGCCGGACGCAGCAGGCTCTGGGCGTGAAGGCCCTCAGACAAGGGAATGCTAACTTTCCGGGGCCGGAGAGAGTTCATCCGTCATGAGGCGGTCTGGAGGTCTCACAGCGCTGGGGGAAGCCTGCTGTCCAAACAGGTATTCTTTGGAAAAGTGACCATTTGGGGAAGTCTCAGGACTTTCTTTTCTTTTTTTTTAAATTTCAGTTACAGTTTACAATGTTCAGTATTACTCTGTCTTAGTTTCAGGTGCACAGCACAGTGGTTACACAGTCACCTGCTTTACAGAGTGGCCCCTGATATCCAAGCACTCACTCAGCCCCGTACATGGTCATCACAATACCACTGGCCACGTTCCCTGCGCTGTAGTTTACAACCCCGTGACTATTCTGTAATTACCAGTCTGAAGATGAAGAAGTACAAATTAGGACTTTCTTTAGTAATTTCTTCACCCCATCCAGGCGCTGAAGAGTAGGGATGGTAGAAGGAAAAGAGGCTCATTGCCAGAAATTCTTGTCGCAGCCGCCGACAGCAAGCCCTAAACACGCGGGTGGTTTCCACAGCCCTGGCTGCACTACAGTGGCCGGACCTGCTTACATGGCTTCAGGTGCCCTGCACTTGCACACCAGCATTTGTCACAGAAGCCTGATGAACACTTCGGTAAAACACACGTGATAGGCAAATGCTTCACAGATATGAGGGGCGGGGTGTGGGATGCATTCCCCGCCTGGGCCTCTGAGCCCCGAACTCAGTTCCTTTCCTCTGGTACCTTCTGTCTGGTTTCTCACACCCCTTCCCTGTCTTAAGGCGGCAGTGGTGCAATGTCTTGTTCTGTGAGCATGTTCACTGAACTACCTTAGGGTTTTTACTTTAGCCCCAAAGAGCATGCGGTGGGGGTTCGAGCCTTGGCAAGACTATGGTGGGAGGGCGTGTTTGTTAAATCATGCTGTGCACATACTCCTCCACGGTGCCCATGCTAGCCCGGCCCGGTCTCTCAACCCGGTGGGGCTGCCTCTCCGGCAGGCTCACTTGCAGGCTGTGACCTCCACTGTGGCCTGCCAGCTGTCTCCCCCGGCCTGGTGCCTTTCTGGAATTAGCCCAGTGTTCCGGCCTTCCACCCTGCGTCCACACTGGGGGCCACTCCCACACCCACAAGGTGGTGGCACACAGGCCCTCCCGTGAGGACGAAGGGGCTGGAACACTGCAGGCAGAACCTGCCTCTGGCTGCACCCCCATCCGGCCGTGTGGCCGTGGCCTTGTCTCTGTGCTTGTCCTCCGGCTCTGAAGGGAACTGGGTAGAGACACAGCTATTTCTTACTGGTCCCTTGCCCTCTGCCTCTTCTGGGTCCAGACTCCATAACCTCCCCTCCCTTCCTTTTATACCATTTACTCCTCCCTTTCCACTGGGGTCTTCCCCTGGACTTACAAACACAGTCGAATCCATCCATATGCTACCTCCCCAGCTCCGGGCACAACATACAAACACACAAAAAGAAGACCCTTCCCTGACTATAAAATGTTTGCTTCCTGTCATCTTCAACCAGATTTCTCAAGAAGTCCTCACGCTTGCTGTTCCCACTTCCCTCGTTCGCTCCCTGCTGCGCAGCGGCCCCTCGGCTGAGGCGGCCCGGCACGCCCCACGGTGTGGCGTGGACGTGGGGGCGCTGTTCTCCTCTGGAGGAGGTCCCCTCAGCAGGGCCGCCGCCTGGTTCTTTACACCTTCAGACACACTTGTGGTTTCTTTTTAATGAGGTTCTCTGTCCTCGTCTGCCCCATTGTATCTTTTTTTCCCCAGGTTTCTCTCAAACCCCGGTGCTACATTCACTCGGTGCAGTCCCTCGCAGGGACCCCACCGCATCTCCTAGTTTGACCTGCTACCCACATTCCGACGCACGGTGGGCTCCCTGGTACCTCCAGCCCGGACTTCTCCCCCACCTTACATCCAACTTCCTGCCGGAAATCTCCTTTGGAGCTGCTTTGTGTGTTCCCTCCACCTGGAAGTCTTCTCATCCCTCGTATCCAGTCAGCTCCTACCCACCCT